AGAGGGCAAGTTCTCTTTTGAGTCAGTTCTCTCCATTATCCAGGGCCCCTTCCTCTACTCTTTGACACAGAGTGTCGTGTATCCCAGGCTGGCTTTGTACTCAAACATATCAGAGAAAGATCTAGAACTTCTAGTCCTCCTGCCTCCACATCCTGAATGCTGACATTATAGGTATGCATCTTTATGGAGTGGGGGGTGGAAAACCCAAGCCATATTGTTAGGCAAGCACTCTCCCAACTAGGTAACATCCCTAACCCCACACCTGCCTTTTAGTGTCAGGCCCTCGTGTGTGCGCAAGAGAGAGAGAGAAGAGTGTGTGTTTCCTTCACTCTTTTAGGCAGGCATGACTTCGAACTTGGAATCTTCTCTCCTCAGTCTCCCTTATGCTAGGATTACAGGAATGTGAGTCCATGACTTAAAATGTAAATAAGGAGTTTGAGATATAGTTCAGTGGTAGGGTCCTTTACAAGGCCCTGTGTTAGCTCACCAGCACTACCAAAAACTCAAAACAAACCAAAAACAGTAAAAGCCATACGTACACAGAATATATGAAAGGTATCTGAAATACAAAGAACACAGACATTGACAATTCAGCATTAGGCAACATTAACAAATGATAAATAAACACGTTTTAATAAAACAAGCCAGGTACTATGGCCAGGGTACCTTACAAGCAATGGGTAAGAAAAACATGGAAAAGAAAGGCATGATGGTACACACCTGCACTCCCAGCATCTAAGAGGCAGAAACAGAAGGATTGCTGCAAGTTCAAGGCCAGCCGGACCACCCTGAGTTCCAGGACAGTCTTGACTTAGTATGAGACCCTGTCTCAAAAAAAAAGGGGGGGAAGCAAATTTAAAAGAAAAAAGTGGGAAGAATGGGCTTCACACAGGGGCCAGGGAGCAGCTGAGCCTGACTGGAATTTATGCTTCTCCACACTCAGTTCCAGTGAACATACAGGAGTATGTAAAAAATGAACAGAGGAGAAGCAAGGCTGGAAAGATGACAGGCAGCAGGCTGTGGCTTGCCCTGCAGTCTGGCAGCAGCCTTCTAAGTGTTTTCCCCTACCCCCTCCAGTTCTTACCCCTTCCATTCCCACACCGCCTCTAGAGGGATTTTTCAATGGTGTACTTATGTCTTCCTTGTATCCACCACCTGTCAGTCATTTTCAGTGGAAGACATTGTCCAAGCTGCTTGCCATCGCTCATAAGTGTGATCTCCTGTGTCTACCTGCCATCTCAGCAAACCTTTTGTAGCCTTCAAATGCAGCACTCCCTCTGCCTTGGGGTCCTCTCACCCCATATATCTCTTAGCACTCTTAGCAACAGCCCCGTAATTTACTTCTCTCATGCAGATAGCCAGCTGCCTTGTCATTACTTTACAAATTTATTATTCTTTGTCTAGAGAATATAAAAGCATCATGCTTTGGGCACTTCTTTAGACTTCATTCTTTTGTGAGGATCCCATATACACGTAAATTTAATAAAACTTTTATGTTTTTTCTCTTATTAATCGGTTCTTATACAATTAATTGAGTTCCTAGATCCAGCCAAAGAACCCACATAAGAACTAAGAGGGGGTTGAGAAGATCTCTTTCCCCTCTACATTCACATAATTGGTAAGTGATGGAGTCTGACCACAGATTCGAAATTCTGTCAGCTTCACTGTCCTACCTACTTTACACAAAGAATTGTGTCTAACTGATGAGAATGTCCCCTGTGAACAATTGAAGGACAATCAGGTACCAAACAATGTCCATGGTGTTGAATTTAAGAGCAAAGAAGGGTGCAACAAGGGAGAACATACCATTTGGCTCGGCATGACTAAAAGAAAAAAGTGCTAGAGCCAGCCTTTAGACAGGGCCCTGGGCGACGGGACAGGACCAGGAGGGTGAGAGATAGATGAGCAAGGCAGTGGATGAGCAAGAGAAAAGCAGGAGGATGGAATGTGACGTTTGTTCCGTTGAAAGTGAGGCCAGCGGTGGTGGCGCACGCCTTTGATCCCAGCACTCAGAAGGCAGAGGCAGGTGGACATCTGGGTTCAAGGCCAGCCTGGTCTACAGAGTAAGTTCCAGGACAGGCAGAGCTACACAGAGAACATGTCTTGAAAAACAAAAGTGAAGCTGGGGTAAAAGTCAAAGGGACTGTTTGAAGTCAAACTTGGTGAGAAAATAGAAAGATCGGGGTGGGGAGACAAAGATAGAGACCAAGATTCTCTGCTAGGGAATGTGGTCCCTGAACGAAGGCCTACTGTAGAGTCAAGTTCTGCCCTTACTTTTCATGTTCAAGGCCACCTGTACTCACCTTGTGAGTGAGGGAACCTGGGAGAGGTTTTTGGTTTTTGTTGTTGTTTGTTTCTGGTTTTTACTAGCCTAGCTGATCCTGCTCAACATCCCATTCAGAGAGTGTCTGTGAGGAAGGAAAGAAATACTCACCTCTGGAGCATGTATCCACTCAGCCAGCCTCAGCTGCTGTGTCTTTGTGTCTGTGAGTCTTTCACTACATAGGCTGTGATCATGGTGTTAAAAGAAAAGGAAAAAAAATTTTGGTAAAATGTGAGCCCTGAAGGCAGCCTAATATACTACCTTATTCTGCTGCAGGTTGAAAGGGGCATCAGAGGCATCGGAGAAGAAGAGACAGGAGAGGGAAGAAGGAAAATATCAGCCATTATTTGCCGTGCTGGAGAAAATTTGAACTCTGGCTTTTGTTTTGTTGTTGCTTGAAGTCTGGTTTTAGATCTAAGCCACTTATAAAATACAACCCCACCGCGGTGTGACAGGACAGCATCCTTTAGGGTGCCTCAGGCTAAAAGATGGGTATAGTGACTCATACCTGCAACCCCAGCCCTGAGAGCTCAAGCTTAGCCTGGGCTACATAGAGAGAGCATGTTTGAAAAAAAACAAAAACAAGTAACACACACACACACAAAAGCCTGGGGCTGAGAAGAAAACTCTCAACCCTCTCAAATACTAGCTTAAAACAACAAGGGAAACATTGGTTTTTGTGAAAGTCTGGTAAGATGGTCTTCAGGCAAGACTTGATCTAGTGGCTTCTGTGTTAGCAATTTTTTTTGGGGGGGGGGCAGGGGATCTGATCTAATGTAACAGCCCATACTGACCTTGAACTTACTATGTAGCCAAGAATGACCTTGGACTTCTCATTCTCCTGAGCGCTAAGATTCTAAGTGTACACTGCCATCCCCAGCTTATGTGGTTGCTGGGAGTTGAACCCAGGGCTCTTTAGTCTGCCCACTGAGCTAGCGAACCTCGATATGCATGTCCTCGCTGTCACTATCGTTTTGAAGAATTAGCCTGGATATGAATGCAAAGCACAGATGTGGTCCATTTCTCTCACTTTAGCAGGAAAGAAATAGGAGCTTGCCAAAAAGAGCAGTTTTGCCCAGAGTTGTACATCTTCATTAATGCTGAGCCAAGATGAAAAAACATAGCGGTCAGGTCACTGCCCACTCTCAACTGACTGGGCTTTGTGAAAGCATTTGGTGGTGAATGTATGGCAGGCAGTGCCCAGGGATGAAAAAGAAGATCTGGGGCGACCAGAAGAGCTGGCACTAGGGCCCATGGGGGGGGGGTGACTTCTGAAGGTCAGGACCATCCCCTACAATTTCAAGAAGATTGTGAGGGATGATGGCCAGTTGCTTGGGTCTTCTCCTGCAGTGTAACAGACGTGCAGAAAGCCTGATGCTGACTGTCTTGGTGTTTCTATTGCTTCAATAGAACACCATGACCAGAAGCAACTTGGGGAAGGGTTTACTCCAGGTTGCAAGTCTCAGGTCACAGTCCATCATCAGAGGACGTCAGGCAGGAACCTGGAGACAGGAGCTGATGCAGAGGCCATGGGGGAGTGCTGCTTGCTGGCTTGCTCTTCATGGCTTGCTCAGCCTGCTTTCTGATAGCACCAGGGACCACCAACCCAGGGATGGCACCTCCCACAGTGAGCAGGGCCCTCCCACATCAATCATCAATTAAGAAAATGCACTGCAGGGCTTTTCACAGGACGGTCTGCAAAATCTCTCAGTTGAAGTTCCCTCTCCCCGAATGACTCTGACTTGTGTCTCGCGTTGACATGAAACTGGCCAGCACACTAACCAAGCTGACAGTGGAGAGAGGGGGCAGGGAGCTGCACAGGAGAAGGTAGCATCAGAATGAGCAAACTATGTTACTCTCTCCTCTCCGACAGCACTCATGCCTCCGGTGGAGAGAACCTTGGAAACACAGACCCAGGCATTTTCAAAACCAGAGAGAGAAATAGGGCCGTGGGGTGGGAAGGGGTGGGGATCTGATAGTGGCAGAAGGCATTTGAGGGAAGGAATCTGCTAAAAAGCCATCTGCTCTTTCAAACTCCTGCTAGCAAATAAAGAAACCCATTTAGCTTATGTTGACATGTCCCGACACATCCCTACGTACATTTGAACGCTGTGGGGTCAGCAGGGAATCTGGCATATGATGACAGACACTTGTGGTCAGGGGCCTTTATCCCCCATTACTCTCACTGAGCTCTAGCTTCTTAGCTGTATTCTCTTCACCTTAGATAGATCTCTGCCACTGGGAGGAACTCCTGGAGGTTTGGGGGGAGGGGAAAGGTTGTTGCGCTTTCAACAGTTCTGTTTAGGCCTAAGGTCTCCTGGGACTGCTGCTTGTGCAGAAAAGGAAAAGAAAAAAAAAAAAAAAAAAAAGCAAGAAAGAAACAGAAAGAGTCAGTACTCCGCCCTCTGGACAGCACAAACCAACACAATGCATTCTTGTCCCCTTTGCTTCAATCTCCCTCCCTTCCTAGCCTTTCTGTCTTCTCCCCATCTCTCCTTTTCTGTCACCTCCCTATATCAACATCCCTTTCCTGCCCTCAGCCTTGCTAGACTTCCGGCTCTGCTGAGAGACTTATGTGGTAGAGTCAGACCACCAGCCCAAAGACACACAAAGACAGCAGGAAGGCACAGCCCTTACCATCTTCTCCCCAACCTACCACCTTCTCTGTCCAACTTAGGCTTCTCAGGATGGATGTCACCCGCCTACTCCTGGCCACCCTAGTGGGCTTCCTGTGCTTCTTCACCATTTATAGCCACCTGGTACTCGAGGAGAACCTTGGAGATGACAAGAGTCTGAAGAGCAACTCCTCCACGAACTCACTGGATTGCTCCTCTGTTTCTATCGTGGGTAAGTCGCCTGGCCTGGGACCCAGACTCTAGGCTCTGACTCATGAGAGGGGGTACAGTGTGTCAAGCCTGTTGCCCGACTGCTTCCAGCATAGCTACAAATCATTCTTACAGTATTCTTGAGTGCTTGGGTTTGAGAAAGCTTTGCATGTCATCACTCGAAAACCAAATTTACTATGTCAGAGATCGAGGGAGCCTCAAGTCAAGATGCTTGGTGGACTTGGTTTAATTTAGCATTTATGAAACTTAATAAATCACAGAACTCAACAAAACAAACTTTAGGTAAGCCATGGGCTGGCTGTAAGTCTTCAATAATCCAGTCTTGCCATGGGATGGGAAGTTACAGGAGCATCAAAGTCTGTCATTGGAGAGCTTATAGTTTGATCTTAATCATAACCAGCATGGGCTAATGGCAGAGAGCATGCTGAGTCCATAGGGCCCGATCCAGTTCCTATAGCCAAAATAACACACATCGTGTGTCTGTGAGATGGTTCCTGTTTTATTTCTATTTTACAGTAGATGAAACTGGAGCTTACTGAGTTCCTAATGGGCAGAGCCAGAATTCAAACACAGGCAAATTATACAACTGGGCACAGAAAGATGGTCTAGTCTAGACATATCAGGGAAGTCAAAGGAGAAAAAAAGAGGAGACATTATTTAATTAATATCCCTTAATTATTACTTTTGGGTTGTTTTTTTTTTTCCCCTAGGCAGGGTTTCTCTGTATAGCTCTGGCTGTCCTAAAACTCACTCTGTAAACCAGGCTAGCCTTGAACCCAGAGATCCACCTGTCTCTGCTTCTCAAGTGCTGGGCCTAAAGACATGCACCACCATGCCAGCTGATATGTCAGATTTTTAAAAATATTTTTATGTGAATGGGTATTTTGCCTTCATGTATGCCTATGTACTGTGTGTAGGCTGGTACCCTCAGAGGCCAGAAGATGATGTTGGAACCCCCTGAAACTGGAGTTATAGGCAGTTGTGAGTCACCATCTACACAAACGCAGAAGCAAACACCAAGTACTCTTAACTGCTGAGCCATCTCTGCACCCCGTCAGACTTTTTGTTTTATAAACATACTTTACTTGTGATAGAACCTTTTATGGATGCGAAAACTGATTGTCAAGGAGAAAAAGCATACAGCTGGTATATGGAGTCAAGTCAGGTGTACCCAGCTCTGAGCTTTGATTTAAAAAAAAAAACAAAGCAGGTAACACAAATGAGTCCAGTAACAAAGGCTGAGACCATCTTCAAAGGCTCACAGTGTTCTTGCACCTGCAAGGATAAAACTAAAACGGGGTACCTGGAGTGATCAAGCATCAGTCGAGGTCCAGCAAGGTCAAAAGACTGGTCTCTAACAGATACCACTGACAGATCCTAAGTCCCTCGTGAGCTTACTCTTTGTCTCTGCTCAGAGCAGAGTACACTGCTCTTTGGGTCTGAAGCCAGGCTAATAAGAACCTGCTGGCTTGATTCCCGTAATGTGATTCATCCGGAAGTCCCTCTTTCTCTCCTCTACCCTGAGACTTCCCAGAGCCCCCTCTGCTCCTCCCACTTCACCACAGCTTGGGCCCCTAGAAACATCTGGCTTTGCTCTGTCTCCCTTTCTTTGAAGCGCTGAACAAGAAATCCAAGAAGATCAGCAGAAAAGAAGCCGAGAAGCAGAAGAGAGCTTCCAAGGTAGGCCTGGGCGTTCTTAAGAGGGGTGGGAGACCTGCAAGCCATGGCCGAGGACCAAATGAAAGATTTCTCCAAGCCTATCGGAAACAAAAGAACCGAAAACTAAAGGTTTCCTGGCCTAGAGCCTTGAGGCAGACTTCCATAGAAGCCAAACAGCCTAAATTCACTGAGCAAAACAGTTGCCTGCTAAAAAAGTTTCCAGTGCTAGTTAAGCACCCCCAGGCCTTCCTGAAATCTGTCACTCAATTCTTCTGGATATTTACCTCAACCCCAGCCACTGCAAAACCACTCTTGCTGTGCCTGAGTTGTGTTTTGTTTGTTTGTTTGTTTGTTTTCTCTCCTCCTTTGCAATTCTGAGGAGCAAGCTCCAGTGCCTTGTGCATGCTGGACAAGTGTCCCACTCCTGAGCCATCTGCCCAGGCCTGGTCGCTGCCAGCTTTTGCTGCAGTTCTCCATCCTCCTTGTGCAGAGCTCCCAGAGTGCCGAGGTGACAGGTCCATGCCACTGGGCCCAACTGTCTCCCTGTTTAAAATTCAGAAAATGGAAGGAATTGGGCCAAGTATAGGTGGCACATGCCTCCAAAACTCAGGAGGCAGAGGCAGGCAGATCTCTGAGTTTGAAGCCAGCCTGGTCTACAGAGCGAGTTCCAGGACAGCCAGATCTACATAGAGAAACCCTGTCTCAAAAAGAACAAAAAAAAACCAAAACAACAACAACAACAACAAAAAAAAGAAAAATGGAAATTGAATATGGGACCACACAGCTGTGTTCCCGGTATTTAGGAGCTGGAAGCAGAAAGATCAGAAGTTCATGGATGAGCCTGGGCTGTACACTGAAAAACAGAAGTATGACAGAAAACTAACATCACTTGCTGTACCTAGAGTAAAAGACTCAGCAAAAATAAAACACTGTTAGCTGAGCCTGGCAGCACAGGCTTGCAATCCCAGCTGCTCAGGAGGCTTAAGGCAGTGGGGGATCCCAAGTCCAAGGGCTGGTAGAGCTATGCAGCAAATTCAAGGCCCACCTGAGCAAAATGAGACCCTGTCGTCACAAAACAAAAGTTTTTAAAGGGTGGGGATGCAGTGGAGTAGTCAAGCCTGCCTGTAACATACGAGCCCTGCGGGGCATGGTGGGGAATACTACTGATGATGAGGGCAGCTTAATGCTACTGCCTGCTGAAGGCTGTAAGTCCGTGGTCTCCAACCCTTTAGTACAGTTCCTCATGTTGTGGTAACCCCAACCATGAAATTATTTTCATTGCTCCTTCATCAGTGTATTTTGTTACTGTAATGACTACGTATCTTTCCCCCCCGATGGTCTTAGGCAACTCCAAAGAAAGGGTTGTTTGACCCCGAAGGGGTAGTGACCCACAGGTTGAGAACCACTGCTAAATCCTGCTTCATTAAAAGGCAGTTATAGTGCATTGAAAAAGCAATTAAGGACACATTAGGATCAAACAGAGCCTTTCAAGCTAAAAGAGAGAGAAAAAAAAGAACGCTTTCCCACTAAGGGATTAAGGACCCTTTCATGCTTTTGAACCTACCACCTAAAACCATACTGCCATCATACAGGTTCCTACATTTCGCTAAATGCCAGACTGAGGCATTGTTGAAATGCACCTGCTATTCCTGTCTTAGTGTGTCTCCGCTAACTGTATCGACCAGAGCAAGGAGCACTGAACAAAATATATAAACGTGCTAGGTGCTGGGAATACTGCAGTAAAAAGGTGATTTCTGCTGTGTGGAGAAAACGGCCACAAGTAAATCAATAAGCAACTTTAAATCCTTAGATGATACATAGTGCGGAGAAATTAAAGCATGGTGAAGGCCTAAGGAAGGAGCATTAAATGAAAAATTTAGCAATCTAGAGCAATATCCAGTAGAAACATAGTATATAATTTTTATTTTCTAATAACCACATTAAAATAGTTCAAACTCATTCTATTTAAAGTGTTAATATTTCAACATATAAACAACTTTTCCTTTTATGCAGTCTTTGAAATCTGGTGTATAGCTGACACAGCACACCTCAATTCCAATGCTTAATGTGGTCCTAGTAAATTTGATGTTTTCTTTATACTAAAATAGAAAACTCAGTTCCTCACTTGCACTGTATGCACCTTATTACTAAACAGCACACCTGACTACCAGTACTAGAATGTCTCTAGGCTATGGAGTAGGCGCCTAAAGAAGTGAGCAGAGGAGGGGCATAGGAGGAGATGAGGGAGGAAGGGTGGGATTGGGAGGAGATGAGGGAGGGGGCTACAGCTGGGATACAGAGTGAATAAACTATAATTAATATAAAAAAGAAAAATTTATTTTAATAAAAAGATACAGATTAAAAAAAAAAAAAAGGAAGTGAGCAGAGACCAAACACAGGGGTCCTCCAGGGCCAAAAGAAAGTTTGTTTTTCCCCAGACAAATCACTGAGGACTCTTTAAGCAGGTGATGCGGTCACAGGAAGGAATGGCTTTCTTTGGTGCCCTGGAAGAGGGTCACTCAAAGGTAATGAAGACAGTGAGTGGCCCAACCCAGTGGCAGCGGGTAAGAGTGATGGTGAGAGGCTTGACGCTTGGCGCTTGTTGAAAACTGGGGTTGAGAAGGGTCTAAGTAAAGGGCCAGGTCGGAGCGAGGTAAGCTGGAAGATGAGGGCGGTGTGCAGGCGCCCGGTGGGATGCCCCGTGCGCACGAGGACTGGGACGGCGTGACCCGCTCAGCAGCCCTCGACGTCTCTCCTACAGAAAAAGGCTTCCAAGAAGAAGGCGGCACGCCCCCCGCCACCCACGCCCTGCGTGGCCACCCGCGGCAGCTGCAAGCCGCCGGCACCCGCCTGCTGCGACCCGTGCGCCTCCTGCCAGTGCCGCTTCTTCGGCAGCGCCTGCGTGTGCCGAGTCCTCAACCCCAACTGCTGACGCCGCTCCGACGCTGCGCGCGCAGCTTCTCGACGGGTGACTGGGCGGGGCTTCAGGGTCAGGGGCGCTTCTGGGCTGGGGGCGGGGCCTCTGCGGGTGGAGCTTACGGGTGGGCGCGGCCGGTAGTTGTGGCTTGGGTCCGCTTTCGCCAAACTGCGGGCTTTCGGGGAAACCCAGTGGAGGCTAAAAATCAGAATACAGCATTTTTAGTCTGCGGGGAAATTGTGGCTGTTTCTTTAAAAGAACCAAAGCTTCCGGCTCCTTTACGGCGTTCTGGTCCTTACGGAGACTGCGCACGCTGCGCCCCTGACCATTGGGAAACTCCGTCGTTCGTGCCCGACAGCAGCCTGTGTGGTTGGTACCACACAAGCCTCTGCGTCTTGGGGCTGGACATGATGCTGCTGGGTTCTTTTCCTCCTGCTAATCCACGGGGAAAGGAACCATTAGGGAACGACCTTCCAAGCTTTTTAGCCATTCTCCTCCTAGGGAGGAGCACAAAAATCCAAGACATGCTCCATAAGCAGCTTCAGCCTAGGGGGTGGGGGCGGGGTTGTGCATTTGCTGTGGGTTTCTAAAGCCAGAAGGATCTGGATTGAGCAATCAATTGAGCAGTCTGTTGGGCTCTCAATTAAAGGTACCACCCAAACCCACTCCTTCCTCGATCCCAACGGCACACGGACCTGAGAGTTTTTCTTAGCCAGGCATCAGTCCCAGGTTTGTTTGTTTGTTGTAATTCTAATACCCTAGCGTTTAGGCAAAGCAAAATTTTAGATAACCTTCCTTGATCTTCACCCTAGTTCCTTGGCCAGTAAGAAAGCAAAGTGGGAACTGGGGGTGGGGCCTGAAAAAAAAAAAGCGGCAATCGTACTAAATTATCAAGAACCAAGTCTCAAAAGTGTTCCAGACTGTTCCCTGAAATCCCACAGGTTCTTAGTCTGTGAGAAGCCAAGGTACCGAAGTGTAACTTTGGAAGAAGCGTGGGAGGTAGCGCACCTGGAGAAAGGAGTCAGTTTGGGGAGCAGGTTTGCTAAGGAAAGACCAGCAGGGAGGGAGCAAACGGACACCTGTGCGACTAGAGGAAGGGCTCTAGATAATGTCCTCAGGACTTGTCCTTGGCTGTGATGCCTGTAGGGCTAGGAAGAAAGGCTGAGAAGGTGGCGCGCGCAGAGCCTTAGCCTGAGCTGTCCAGTCCCCCACACCCCTGCAAATTAATACAAAGCCAATACCAAAAGAAAACAAACAAAAAACTCTGCTCCCCTCCAAAAAAATTCTACAGAGGCTATCAGACAGAAAGGTTTGACGCCCTTACTTCAGCTCTCATAACCACGAAGGAAGAAGGAGAGAGATTTGTGTGTGTGAAGACAGAGAGGCATAAGGGCCGATACAGGTGTGACCAGCTTTTCAGGCCTCTGTGCTCTGTCATTTGCCATTGTTGGAAACAGCTCACAAGCCTACCAACCTGAATTTAATCCCAGGACCCACAGAGCTGTGTAACTGCCACAGTACACACGTACCCTCAGATACTCATCACCAAGAAAAAAAAATACAAATTCTACTGCCTCAAATCACCCTTCTTATCACAAACCTTTTCCCACATAGAGACCCAGGTTGTGCCTCGGGTGACACACTTACTTCATGTGGAAACAATGAGGCTGACACTTTTACCCAGCCACCACCTGGACAGAACACAAGAAAAGACATGTGCTCCAGGCAAAACTGTCCACACAGTTCGGACATTAGGCAAGACCTTTTGTCTGTCTCCCTGGGCTGCCATTTCCTTATCTTTAAATGAGAAGTAATAATTTCCTGCTGTCCTTGGTGAAATCCAGGACGTTATTTCTCTGGGCCCCCATGGAGTGGCGCCACACACCCACACCCACGCTCACAGAGAGCTGCCAGTCCTTTGCTTTGTTTTCTGTCATTTAGGCTGCAAGCGCATGAGGCAGGAACATTTTGTTCCTTGTATGGCAGCTGCTGCTGCTGAATAAGTGTCGTCAGTGATAAGAATATTGGGGACACATTGCAACTACTGCTCCTGTGTTTTCCTGACACTGCTCATCAAACAGGTACTGTTTGGCTCCTAGCAGTGAGGCTGGGAGGCGAAGCTCAGGACTCAGTATTTTTATTAATGCTGTGTGGGGGTTTGTCTTTAATTTGGTTTTGTTTTGAGACAAGCTATCACTGTGTGTGGCTCTGGCTGGCCTAAAACTAGCAATGTAGACCAGGCTGGCCTTGAAATAGAGATCCGCCTGCCTCTGACTCCCACTGCTGGGACTTAACAAGTGCCACCACCCCTGCAACCCATTAGTAACTAAGTCATTGGATTACTGGATTTAGACAAGGACTAACCCAGAGGTTCACTGTATGTCTCGTAGTGTAACTGCTCTAATGGAAAAACTCTAATATGGATATTGTCCCTACAGAGCTTAACAGTGCAATGGGTCATGACCCCTGGTCCTAATAGAGGCAAGAACAATTGTTAGCCTATGGGATCTCTTCCCTCACATGTAGCTCCTGGATCCATTGACTCGTATCTCTGTTTAGGTTCTTTCCTGCCCAAGTTTTCCTTCAGCTTTCAGATGCTGGGATTCTTCTACTCTTTCAGAAACCCTCTGTAAGCTTTAGAGCCCTAAGATCATAGCTCCAGGCCTCTGCAAAACTCTTCCCACTTTGGTGACCAAAACTGAAGCTCACATTTATATCCAAAAGTTATGATTGTGTATTATGAGGACCTTCGTCCAGCTCTATTGCGATTGTATCTCCTTCCCGCACACACTCTGTCCTGGAAAGATTCACGCCACTGTTCATCATTTCTTCTCACAGGCACCCTAAGTTCTCATAATGTAACCTTGAGCAAGCCCCTTAAATTATTATTATTATTATTATTATTATTATTATTATTATTATTATTATTATTATTTTGCACGAGGTCTCACATCACACAGGCTAGCTCAATTCAGACTAGCTTCTAACTTCTGATCCTCCTGCCTCTACCTCCTGAGTGCTAGATGACAGGCATAAAACCATGTGTGGTTTTTGGTTTACAAGCTCCTAGGGATCCACCTGACGGCTCTCTACCAACCTACTTACACTCTCAGTCCAAAAGTTGAAGTCTTTTAATTTTATTTTATTATTTATACAGTATTCTGCCTGCACATACACCTGCACACCAGAAGAGGGCACCAGATCTCATTATAGATGGTTAATGGTGCGACCATGTGGTTGCTGGGAATTTAACTCAGGACCTTTAGGAAACAGCCAGTGCTCTTAACCTCTGAGCCATCTCTCCAGTCCCAAAAGTTGAAGTCTTAAGGAATACTCTCATAGCACATATGTTAGAAGAATGCCACACACAAAAAAAACTGAAATCGGGGATTAGACACTAACAGCGCCCTCCTGTGTCATCATCCTCATCAACCACTTTGTCTTCTGGTTTGGTTTTGGAAGAAAGTTTAAATCACCTGGGGACATAAAGAGGTTTTAAACAGGTTACCCTGTGACCTCACACAGCTGTCTATTAAACGGAAACAGCAGGGTTTATTTCAGAATTTGGTCCAGGTGTCTTTTCAACATGTTAAACTTTAATGCATAGAAAATTTAAACATTCATGTTTTTCTTACATCTCTTTAAAGGCTTTGTTTGATATTTTTAAAAGAAATTAAAGCTTATGATTTCACAGAAACAATATACTTCAAAAAAAAACAAACAATAGTCTCAGAGGGAGAAGGCCTGTATCTAGCAATCACAAGGTCTTTATTCTAAATTCTTCCATCTGTTTCAACAAGCACAGATGTGGCAACTCTACCCACTGACAGGAAATTACCCTTCTCCAATAAGAGCTTTAATAAGAAACTCAGCTCCAGGAGCCAGCTCACATGTGTGGAGGGAACAGGATAAGTGAAGAAAGTGATTTGAACTGAATTAGCCAGACCATCTGTAGCAACTTTCAGGTACATCTAAACTTTTTACTGTCTTCTTCCCAGGACTAAAGATGGTATGTAGGTTGAGGGAGAAAGCAGTTGAAAAGGAATGAGTTGTGTTTATCAAATATTTCAAAATGGTAAAATGCTACCTTCATTCCAGAGAGGATGTCTGTTGGCTTGCAGGAAAACAGTAGCTAACTGCCAACTCTCCCAGCTGGATCTGAAAGTTGCCATCTGGGAGGTGGCTACAGTGAAGGTGATGATACCTGGCCATCTTGTTGTCAGGGAAGCTCAGCAAATGCCATCCTTGAGTCTTGAAGGTTTTCACACCTTCCAGACTCCTGTTTAGAATTCCTGTGCCCAATGGTGGCAGACCACTTAAGCAACAGTAGAATCACAGCTACAGGAATCCATTCTCAGCTTCCATAGCAAGCTCCTGGGTCACTGTTTACTACACCAAATTTCTAGCAAAATTCCTGAAGCCCTGTGTTTGAGTCTAAACCAACTTGAATCACACATTTCTCCTTCAGCCAATCTGCACAGCTGTTTGCTAAATTGATTGAAGTTAGCTGGCTAGGCCTGGATTACATGAACACCTCTAGCTTCCTCCAGGGTGTTTCCTGGCTTTGTCTCCTGGGATAGTGCTGAGTCTCCAGGGTGAGAATCTGGTTTCCTGGAACTTCAGATCTCCAAGGCAGAGCAAACACTGCTGCTGCCTCCTGGAGTTCTCACTGGCATCAGTGGCCTTGTGACCTTTCCTGCCTTGTAATCCATGCTTCCTCCTGCCCTCTAAGCTCATTACTTCCGGTCCAGCTAAGACTTAAAAAGGGGGTTCTTTTTTATTATTTATATATTATTCTGGCCCCATGTGTGCCTGCACACCAGAAGAGGGCACCAGATCTCATTATAGATCATTGTGAGCCACCATGTGGTTGCTGGGAATTGAACTCAGGATCTTTGGAAGAACAGCCAGTGCTCTTAACATCTGAGCCATCGCTCCAGCCCCCCTCTTTAAAGATTTATTTATTCATTATGTATACAGTGTTCTGTCTGCATGTATACCTACATGCCACAAGAGAGCATCAGATTACATTATAGATGGTTGTGAGCCACCATGTGGTTGCTGGGAATTGAACTCAGACAGTGCTCTTAACCCCTCAGCCATCTCTCCCCAAAAGGGGAATTGTTGAGTCACAAGCCTTAGGAGTCTCCAACAGCCTGACACCTGAAGGCAAGTGCAGCAAGGTGACTTCAGATAAGTCGCTGAAGCCCTGGGGTACCATCTCTCCATATCTAAACTCTGACTTTTTACTTTAACAATGCTCTGACTCTAAGGTACTTCTCAGGTTCTGGCAACCTATATTTTTATAACTGGATCTTTGCCTCCTGACACCAAGGCAGATACCAGGCACTGATTCTTTAAACCTGGCTTTGTGCAGAGGCAACATCTGAGAAGAGTGTGTTGCCATCCTTAAGCTCTGCCTTCCATTTCATCCTTAGGCAGCAGATAACACAGGAAGGGAAGCACAGGCTGTCAGGCACTCCAGAGCTAAGCCTTGCCCTCTGGTCTAGTAGGCACTCCCCTCTGAGGTTTGTGGTGTGGGTGCATCTCTTCTTATCGCCCCTCTCTTGTAACAGGGGAGGATTACCCTCTTTATCGTTTATGGGAGTTGGCAAACAACAGGCCACTGATCTTGCATTCCTCCCTCAGAGGCCATTTGGACATCTAGGTGGAACGTTAACTCAGAACAAACATTAGCAATGTGGGCAGTCTTTCCCACAGAATAGAGTACAAAGGTGCTTTTACAAAATTTAAGTATTGTCTAGATCTCACAGTATTCTAGATTCCTTACCCTCTAAACAACCCCCTCTGCCCAACTTCTGCCTTTAAAACCTGACTCAGAACTTAAACTTCAAGACAACCTGAGGTATTTATATCACTATCCTGAGTTGCATCATGACTCAGGTCTTCTCCTTAACCTCCAAATCATTGCTCCCCAATCCCCCAACTGGGGTAGGGGGAAGCACAGTGAGGCCAGACCAGATACTGCAGGACCCTTAGCTAAGTCTCTCATGCAACTTGCTGACACCAGCCAGAGGCGCAGGCAGGAAACACGTCATCCTTCACTGTATCTGGTTTGTGTCACACCTGTGACAAACTAGCACACCTGAGACCAGATGTGAAAGATTTGTTGTTTTTAAAGGTTGTGAGAACAAGAGGCCATCTCTAAAGAAAGGAAAAGCCAGGGTAACAGAAACCAGAACCCCACAGGGAAAGGAGGCTGGGCCGGCATAGGACTCACCAAAGATCAACACCTGGGAAGGTGCTACAGATTTGAGGGAAGTGCTCACCCTTTGCTGGGCCCTTGGAGGGGTCAGCATGGCTGCTGTCAACAGAACCTCTGGCACAGGGCAGCAGCCCTCACACCTCATCTACTAAAGTCCCTCACAGTGCAAGCAAGGCAGGGCGGAGCAGCCCTGTCTGCCGCAGCCTTGTTAGGGACCCAAGTTCCATCAGTCCCTTATCCTAAAGTCAGAGCCTCAAACCTGGCTCCCCTCCTCCTAACCCTCGGCCTATGGTTTAGAAAGGTTTCAACAATCTAACTTGGTACAACAGCTAGCTCATCTGCATGGTTTCTCTCAGTACCTCAGAGTCCAAGTCTCTAGTTAAGTTCACATGAATAAGATCCTTAAAAATGCTCCCTTGAATGACAGGGTGCAATGTGGCAACCCTATATTCCCAGCAGTCCACAAGCTGAGGCAAGATTCTTAATTCAGGGTCAGCCTGGGCTACACAGGATGGCCCAAACCTTTGCATACAATTAGTGTGTAAGAATGTTGGGAGCCAGGTGGTGGCACAACACACCTTTAATTCCAGCACTAGACACAGACAGGCAGAATTCTGAGTTTGAGGCCAGCCTGATCTACACAGTGAGTTCCAGCATGGCCAGAGCTATACATAGAAAGTCTGTCTCAAAAAAAAAAACAATTTTAAATATATATATATAATAATGAAATTATTTTTCGTGAATGAGGATTGCTTTTTAGTTCATAGATTTTGGATGAAAAATCCATCCATCGTTACCCTATTTGAGACAGGGTCTCACATTGCTCAAGCTGTTAACTCCCATGTAGCCAAGGATGGCCTTGAACTCTGCTCCTGCTTCCACTTTCCTGGTGCAGGGACTATCCCTTTCCTCTCAGTTGGACCTGACTAGTGTAGTCTTGTCATTTTATGGTGATCAGTTGAAAAGTGGGCCCGTGGCATTTGAACTTACCTAAATTTATAAATTATTTTCAGTGAAGTCATATGCTTATGTAATTCACACACTTCTGCACAACTCCCTGAAAAGATGGTTCAGTGGGTAAGACCACTTGTACTTGTAAAAAACAAAACAAAACAAAACAAAAAAACCCAAACACCTCATATGGCCATGTTCAACTGTAACCCCAGCACTGGGTGGGAAATGGGAGGGAGCAGAAACGGCGCAGCTGGAGGCTCAGTGAGACCCTGTCTCAGGAGTCCAGAAGAGAGTAGTGGGACACCCAATGTCGTCTTCTGGACTCCAGGAGCACAGGTGCAGTACCTGCACACACGTACACACGCCACACACTTAAAAACTGTCACACATGGTAAGCAACAGTTGACATATGAAAGGGTCAAAATTCTTTAGGCACTAGAAATTGTATTTAATCCACCTTCCTTTGTTAACATTCTAAATAGCATATAAACATTATAAGCCAAATTAATCTCCTTGTGACCCAGGCTTGTCATAGGAACCATCAATTATACAATAGTGACAGACCTTTACCTATTTGTTTTTCCAGTCCCTTTCAGTCTCTGTCACTTGGTTGTCTCCTAATCTATTCTGACCCTGTGAAATAGGGACCAAAAGTACCAACCTCAGTATTATGAGGTTTAAGAGATGGTCCAACAGCAAATAAGCCAAGCTCTCTTCCAACTGGAGTTTAAAGGCTCCTGCTCTTTGCTAGTGCGCCCTCTCAGTGGATCTGTAAACCAAGTGAAGGGTGGATGGTAAGGTGCACAGGCTTGTGACCACCACTAGCTACATCCAGCCTCAGGACTTCCAAGACTTCTGAGCTCACGCCCCCTGTGGATGGCTCCCAGGTACTCTATCTTGACTGGGGACTCTCAGTCCCCTTGCCACACCTGGAACAGTTTGAGGGATACAAGAGAGGCCAAAGACAGAGTGACCAGCCCTACTGGGAAATAAACACCAGAGAAGCAACTGCAAAGTTGGTGACATTTGCTCTTGGGAAAGAGATAGGGCCTGGAACAAGGATGGCAGCTGGAAGGTGAAGGGCGGTCCCGGCTCTCAGTAGCGGTAGTGGTCAGGCTTGAAGGGGCCTTCAGTGGACATGCCCAGGTACTGGGCCTGCTTCTCAGTCAGCTTGGTCAGCTTCACATTCAGCTTGCCCAGGTGAGCTTCAGCCACTGCCTCATCCAGCTGGGGAGAAACAGAAAACCCCGAGTCAGTGTCATGCTCTCATACTCTCACCTGCGTCTAGCCAACAATCAAACTGCTCTGATGAGGTGCTGGCAAGTACATTGCCCTCACTATACCTCGTTCTAGCCTCAGGGGCAGCTTCAGTGTGTGTCCTGGCTGCCTAGCTCCCCATCAAAAGAGAACCATGTACACCCATTAGATAGTTCTGGTGGCACCAATTACACCTCCTAAACTCCTCTAACTAAAGCAGCTAATCAGCAGCTTCCTGAAATGAACTACGGCCCAGGACATACTTTATTATCAACAAGAGCACTCTACCCAAGTCCTACCTCATAATGGCATGACACTGACTACAGCCCAGCTCAGAGTGCTCTTACATTCCCAAGCAGTTTTATGTCCACTGTTCATAGAGTTTCACAAACATCTCCAGGAAGAAGAAAGGGAAGGATAGTGCCTGCATAAACAATGCAGAGCCTAAAGAATGTGATAGGGGCTCAAGCTAGATGCAGGTAAAAGCAGGATGGGCCTAACCTGCAGTCCATATTAGAAGCAGACATGAAGGCCTCCTATCCCTGGCCTCTAGCTCAGGATGCCTGCCTTCTCACAGTGTCCTGTACCAGTGTGCTACATAATGAGTGACCACCTGGGCAGTTACAGCTGGGTTCTAGCTGGGTTCCCAATAACTCCTAAGAGTATACTAAACTTTGGTTTCCTCATTTGTAGGACACACATAATAAATACCCACCTTTTGGAGCTGACACAAAGAGCAGTGACATTCAGACTGTTAGTTCAAGGAAGTAATTTAGTAAATGGCAGATGTTGTCATTAACCAAGGTACCTAATAAACCTACAGACTGCATGTGTCTTACAGACATGCCCCGTTGACCCAGCCAAGTACTAGGGATGCATTTAAGGGATATTTGTGTAGCATGTATGAGGACCTGGGCTCCATGCCCAGCATCACAAAAATGAACAAACAAATCCAAGACTGACATGGAGGCTTGTGCCTTTAATCCCAGTTCTCAGGAGGCAGACAGGCAAACTTGAGTCAAGGCCACCTGGTCTACCTACTGAGTTCCAGGCTAGTCAGGGCTATAATGAGACCCTGTCTGAAAACCAAACAGATGAACAGACAAACCAGATAGGGCCTATCCATTAAAATTTTAAACTTATTTCGAACCAAGACCTTAGCATATGCTTCAGAGCTCAGAAGCCTTGTCCCCTGGAGCTGTGTTCCAGGCTGGTGAACTAAGTGGCAGACACACTTCCCTGGGGCGTGTATTCTTCAACTTCAGTTCCCACCTACCCTACTTTACCAACCACCTGCCCCACCCTGCAGACATGTGGGAGATCCTCACCATCAGTAAGGAAAATACTCCTGCCTTCACTTTACAGATGCGGAATGGAGACACAGCTCCAAACCTGGTGAGTCACACTCCACAGCCATGGCACTATGGGTGTGCTTCAGAGAACACTGAGGACTATGGATGGCAACTAAGAGGACAAATAGAGAAGCACCTTATGAACTCTAGCAAGTCCACACAGAAACCAGCACATACACCTTGGCTTATAGTAAAGTCAAGAGCTTACCTTCTTAGGCAGGAAGTGAACCCCAACAGGGTATTTATCTGGGTGGGTCCACAGCTCAATCTGTGCCATCACCTGGTTCGTGAAGGAGTTGCTCATCACGAAGCTGGGGTGGCCCATGGCACAACCCAGGTTGACCAGCCGGCCTTCAGCCAGCAGGATGATGCGGTGCCCATTCTTCAGCCTGTAGCGGTCCACCTGCAAGGCCCCAAGGTAGCAGTAAGGGCTGGTGGGCACTGCCCATAAGATCTGCTCACCTCCTAGGCCATACAAGATGGCCTGGAATGCCCCCAAAATGCCACCACCCTCCAGAGCTAGCACACACAATTAAGAGTAGCCAATTACCTCACAAGTCTGTTGTGAGAACTTAACAAATTCAGACCGATAAAGCACTCGGCATACTGTAGGTTCTCAGGAGGTAGCAGCTAGCACTATTACTACTGCCATACTCTTGTACTTAGTCACTGACACATACAGGACTATCATTTAAATACTTCATAGTCCCCATCTCACAAACTGAAGCTAGAAGGTTGAGTCATTTGATCAGAGCCACACATTAAGAAGTGGCTGCAGTCTGAAGCCAGATCTCATGCTCTCAATTGCCATTAAAAAGTTGAATGCAGGATGGGGAGATGGCTCAGTGGGTAAAGCTGCTGCTGACAAGCCTGGGTTCAATCCCCAAAGAACCTAGTGGAAGGAGAGCATCATGACAGGTTGTCCTCCTACCTCCACATGCAAGTACTCGTGTGCTGACATACATGAGTACACACACAAAACCATTAAGTAAAATGTGTGTATATGAAGCTGGGCACGGTGGCACACGCCTATAATCCCAGCACCCTGGGAGGCTGAGGCTGGTGGATTTCTCTGAGTTCCAGGTCAGCCTGGTCTACAAAGTGAATACAGGACAACCAAGAGAAACCCTGTCTCAAATTAAAAAAAAAAAAAAAAGTGTGTATACATACGTATATATATATATATATACACATACACATACACACACACACACACACACACACACACACACACACATAAAGTTGAATGCAGATCTGGGTTTGCGGCCCCCTTGATAACAGAGTATTTGTTTAGCTTGTATCAAACACTGGCTCTAGCTTACATGAAGCACTGGGTTTAATCTCCAGCTCTACAAGGCAAAAGAGCTTAATTTACTACATGCAACCTAAAAGGAACTTATCCCTCAATGCCCGGCAGCAAAGCTATCCTTTCTCTCAGTAGTTAGTGGCCTACTTTGCACAGAGCTGCTCTAGACAGAAATGTGATGTTCCTTTCAGATCCTCCCCCATCCTGACCCCACTGCCAGTTCAGCCCACACTCTTCAGCTGCCAGCATGCCTGTCCAGCTATGAGCACCCTTAGAGCCTGTGTCCTCAGCTGCCATTCTTGGCAACCTTCACTAACAAGCACAAGTGGACTTTCTGGAACAGCAAGGTGTAACACACTTGCCCGCTGACACCTTCAGGGACTTCAGTGGCCTCAGCATCAACTCTGATACCTCAAATCCAGATCTAACTAGGCTTCTCCCACACACACACCACTCTCTAGCTTGCAACAGCTTCTGTGGCAGGCAACTCACAAGCCCACTGCTCCTCCTCAGCCCTTCACCGCCAGCACTGCGTGGAAGGCTGGGGTTTCTCACCTGGGGCTTGATGTTAACCTTCTCCACAGCATTCTCATTGAGCCACTTTACATCAATCTCCACATCGAAGTGTCCAATGTTACACACAATGGCATCATCCTTCATCTGTTCAAAGTGCCTGCAAGGGAGCCCAAACCCATGAGAGACCAGAGACCAAGAACAGTCCCAAGCCATGCCCTCTTTACTCCCCAGGACTCCCACCTGGTACCTACCGGCCAAGAATGATATCAACACAGCCTGTGGTGGTGACAAAGATGTTGCCCTCCTTACATGCCTCATCCATGGTGGTCACCTCATAGCCTGCAGACATTGAGAGTGTGTAAGCAAAGGTGGCCTCACCCTCCTCTAGCCCCAACAGCCAACCCTTACCCTATCGTACCCTCCATGGCAGCTTGCAGTGCATTGATGGGGTCAATCTCTGTGATGATGACTCGGGCCCCAAAACCCCTCAGGGCCTGGGCACAACCCTTGCCCACATCACCATAGCCTGCTACCACCGCCACCTTGCCCGCAATCATCACATCTGTGGCCCGTTTGATGCCATCTATGAGGGACTCCCGGCAGCCATAGAGGTTGTCAAACTTGCTCTGAAAGGAGAGGGGTCAAGGAGACGATGGAGGTGGGCAAAGCCCTGAGACCAGGCCTCAAAGCATCCCACAGGCAGGGCTGAGACTCGAGCCCATTCAGCCTGCCAGCCTAGACTGACCCCTAAGAACTATCTAGACAACACCGAAACGTCCCTCATCCTCAGCAGGTCCAAGACTATCTCCCTACTAATTCTCTGCTGGTCTAGAAGCCTTTCTTAAGGGATCAGGTTGCTGGGTCAAAGACTTTGCTTGACTTTACAGCTCTTGATAATCAAAGCCACAGTGTTCCTGAAGCACCTGTGACCTACTGTGCAGTTCTCCTTTCAATGCACTCACCACCTCAGACTGGACTGTGGCCCTGCCTCTCTCAGATACAGGCTTCATGCCCCAGGCCACACCCTTCCCGGACACCTGTCCTCAGAGATCCACACCTAAGCTCACTGGGCACCACCAGATGGAGCACACACTACCCAGTGTGACACTACCTTGGTGACAGAGTCATTGACATTGATGGCAGGCACTTTCAGTATCCCTTTGGCCATCATCTTGTAGAGGTTATGGACCCCAGTCGTGGTCTCCTCAGAGATACCTCGGATGCCTGAAAAAGAGGAAGAGCATCAGAGAACACTTCTCTACCCAAAGCCCTTTTCACTCCCTAGTATCCCCTCTCCCTTGTTCCCATCTCTGTACCTGATTGTATGGTCCACCCAGTCACCCACGTTTCATTTGATGCCCTGCTATACAGTCCTACCAAGCCTAATGACTCAACCTCCCAACACCTCCATCCACCACTGTCCTAGTGCCCACCTCCATTTTTCACCCAACTATCCTATCATATCCTAGAATATTCTCAAAAGAAGGTTTTCTTTATTTACTACTCATGCTAGCTTTTGTACAGTCAATCTTTTTCTACCTCAGGGCCTTTGTCTTCTCCATCCTCCTCCTCCCTGTCACAGTCAACAAAGACACTTCTCTGCAACCATTCCCAGCACTACTGGCTTATGAGCTCAGCCAGCCCTGCCACCCCCAGTCACCCTGGCTTCACAGAGAAAGTCAGAAGGCCAGACTCCAGTGTGCCTGCAGGAACCTCCTCCTGTCCTCCAGGTCCAGAGAGGCTGGGAGTTCTGCCAGGACCACTGGCTCAAGTCTATGAACGAGCAGAATCCTTTCAGGCCACTAGTACCCATCCCACCTGCTTACCTGACAGCAGCTGTGGGTGTTTGGTGTGGATGAGGTTAGTGAGGTCACCGCCATCGTCCAGAATCATGTTGAGGGGTCCATCCTTGAAGTGTAACGTCTGCTCAATGCACCACAGGTACTCCTCATCTGTCTCGCCCTTCCAGGCAAACACTGTAGGGCAGGCGGCACATGAGAAGCTGGCAGGAAGGCTCCAGAGAACTCCACAACAGAGCCAATACCATCTCCTTCCTAATTCCATCCCTAGGTATGCCCAGCCCCTATACATGCAGCAGTGGGAACTGCACAGCTAGAAGCTACACGAGTCCCATTCTCATGTTCCCTCATGCAAACCCACAAGGGGCCACTGCCACCATCATTCACAAAAACCCAAAACCCTGAGAGGGGCTAGGATGTGCCTCACTCGGCACAGGACTCTGAAGCAGCACCTGGATAAGGGTGCTGGCTGCTGGCCAGCGGGCGCTACTCCCATCATATGGACTACACAGGTGTGGGGCTCACAAGAGTCTCCTGTTTGCACAGGACACTAGCCAATCTGTCGGCTGCCTCCCTCCCCACAACTGCAGAAGATAATGCTGTAGAAAGAAAAGCCTCTTCTGAAAGAGGGCCACCAAGCCTAGCCACGGTGGGCGCTGCTGACAGGCCATTCAAGCCCTGCAAGGCTAGAGTGACCTGCCCCGCCCCTCTACCTATAGCTTGTTTGGATTCTTCCCCACCCCCTAAATGTATAAGCGTTTTGTCTGCAATTATGTCTGTGCACCATGTGCTTGCCTGGTAGCCTGAGGAGGAGAGGATATTAGACCTCCTGAGTCTGCAGTTACAGATGGTTGTGAGCTGCCGTGTGGATCCTAGGAATCAAACCTGGATCCTCCAGAAAAGGAGCCAGTATTCTTAGCTGCTGACCATCTCTTCAAACCCCCGATAAAGATTCTTGTACATACTATTTAATTACCATTGAATCTATCAAGCCCCTCCTAACAGACATGCACCATGCTGCAGCAGTTTGAGACAAAGTCTTTGCTTTCTAGCCCTGGCCCTTTCTCATATTCCCAGACTACTGTACCTCAGCCAGTGTACCTGAGACTTGTGTTCTGCCTTACGCCTCACCAGTTCTTTAGAAAATGACCCACAGTTCCTCTAAGGAACTGCCCAACCCTCCACACTCTGTGGCTCCCATAAGATCCTTCCCTTAGAGACCACACAACTCAGTGGATCTTCCGTGAGATCTGAGATGAGGTAGGAAAGCAAAGCTGCTCTTTGCTATGAGTCACTGGGCCAAGATCCTCTCTGCCGTATGGAAGCCTTTTCCTACAGGATTCAGTAAAGGAAACATGAAAAAGTAGAGAGAGCCTTAGCCACTACCACATACCCCAGTAAGCCCCTCACCTGGAATGCCGGCCTTGGCAATGGCAGCCGCTGCATGGTCCTGAGTAGAGAAGATGTTGCAGCTGGACCACCGCACCTGGAAGGTCCAGAAAACAAGGTTGCTGGTCATTGGTAGCCAGGAAGCAGCAATGTTAAAAACAGGAAAAAGAAAGCCCTAAAGCCAAGAGTGAAAGGCTGGAGACTCTGGGCAAGTGAGTGGCTAGAAGACACACCAGAGCTTTGGGGAAAAAAAAAAAAAAAAAAAAAAGGGCAACAAATCACTTAACCAGGCATGGTGACATAGCTATAATCCCAATACCCAGGATGCAGTGGCAGGAAGATCAGAGTTCAAGGCCAGCCTGTGCTATATAGGGAATTCCTGGCCAGCCTGAGTTATACAGTGAGATTCCAACTCAACACACACACACGCACACGCAGGCACAATTAAATAAGTGACTAGAAAAATGGCTCAGCAGTTAAGAGCACTCACCATTCTTCTAAAGGACTCCAATTTGGTTCCTAGCACCCACACTGAAGCTTACAACTACCTATAATTCCAATTCCTGGGGGTCAGATACCCTCTCTGGCCTCTGTGGGAACCAGAGATGTATGTGGTACATATACAAACATGAAGGTGCAGGAAAATCCTCATACACATAAAATAAATATTACTGTGATGCTATGTGAACAAGGAGACAGGAAAGGAGAAGAAATACAACAGCAACAGTGGAAGTGGCGCGTGGCTGTCAAATACTCCGGGGTCCTCAGGCTACAGTTGCCATTTATTGATGTGGCAAAGACTGCAGGACAAGGAGGGCAGAGAACTGAAAGTGTTCGGACTTTTCAGCCTCAGATGTGTCCTTGCTCTCCAAGTGGCTTCTCCCAATACTTAGACATACAATACTGGGAGTAAAGGTCAGGCTTGCACATGTGGGAGTCATTACCACACAGGCAGTATTTAAAGCCATGCAGCAGATCACCAGCAAGCTGAATGTTGAAATAAAAACAAGGCAAATGGGATGGAGAGTCTTAGTTCAATCCAGAGGACCTGAGTTCAATTCCCAGCAACCACATGGTGGCTCATAACCATCTATACTGGTGCCCTCTTCTGGTGTGCAGGCACACATGCAGTCAGAATATTGTATAAATAATAAATAAATCTCAAAAAAACAGGCAAAGGGAGCTGGAGAGACTCAGTGGTAAAGAGCACTGGCTGCTCTTCCAGGAGCCGGGTTCAATTCCCAGCTGCCATATAGTAGCTCACAACCATCTGTAGTTCCAGTTGTAGGGAATCTGACACCCTGCGAATGGTGCACAGATGGATATGCAGCCAAAACATCCACACACATAAAATAAAACAAATCTAAAAAAGGTCAATGGAGGCTTTGAATAGCAGTGGAATCCCAGTACGTGGGGGGTTTAGGTAGAAAGCCTAGCCTGAACTATACAGTAAATCCCAGGAGAGCCCAGGCTGTCCCCAAAACAAGCCCTCGGGTACTTGTTTTTGGTGGTCCTATTCTACCAGGCCTCTCCTTGAGATTTTCCTGCATAATCCAGGCTCAGCAAATCAAAGCACTCTGCCTTTCTAACGTCATGACTGTCCACAAGGCACTTGCCCTAGGAAGGATGACGAAATGGAATATTGGGGGCTCTCTTCATCCAGCACTGGCAGGAAGGTATACTGAACAGTCAGAATGTAACTATCTCCCCAAATGGAGAAAATATACAAAAGGCTATTTGCCCCCATGGTTGGCAGCAGTGGAAATGGAGAGAAAACTGAGGTGACCAGAAGAGGCTCTGCCAGCTAGGTCTTCCTACCGGGACGTCTTCTTTCATGGCTGAACCCAGAGAGGGCAAGTGACTCAACGGAGTCGGACAGCTGTGGGCCTCACCTCAGCACCCAGGACCACGAGAGTCTCAATGAGGACAGCAGTCTCCACAGTCATGTGCAGGCAGCCAGCAATGCGAGCACCCTTCAGTGGCTTGGAGGCCGAGTACAACTCCCGCATGCGCATCAAGCCTGGCATCTCATTCTCAGCTATGTCCAGGGCCTTTCGTCCCCAGGCAGCCAGTCCAATGTCCGCTGCAGGAACAAAATGGATGAATTACGTGAGCCGCTTCCTCCAGTCAACCATCAAGCACCACCACCTTGTAAAGACTGATCCAACTGTGAACCCATAGCCCTCAGGCTGGGCAGTCTGTCTCACTCACAACAAAGGGAAGTGCCCCTTTGAAACCTCACACTGCTGATCCTTTCCACAGACACCTACCAACCTCCAGATCACTCCCCTGGAAAAATTCCAGTCCTGCAGGTGTGATAGGATGGGTCCAGGTTCATGGTGGTTTTGTCTGTGTTTTAATCTTTTTTAATGAAAAGACAACGGCCTTTCTTTTTATGTATGTGCATGTATACAGAGGCTAGAGGTCAATGTTAAGTGTCTTTCTCCGTTCCTCTGTCTTACACGAGACAAGATCTCTCATCGTCTCACTGTCAAGCTGGGAGAAGGACCATGCCTCTGCCTTTTCAACACTGAGGTTATAGCTGCTTGCTGTTTTACACTGGTGCTGGGGTCTCAACTCAGGGTCTCACACTCATGAACACAGGCAAACCTACCAACTAAGCCATCTTCCTAGTGCTATGATTTTTATCTTTAAGGGAGCTTAGGTCTTCCCAATCACCCTCAGAAACGGTGAAAGTGAAAGGAGGCTGCTATAGGTTTTAATAATTTAACAAATAAGTGGTGGAACATGCCTGTAATTCCAGTTCTTAGGAGATGAAAGCAGGAGGAAGGTAATCCTTGACTTTATAGTAAATTCAAGGCCAACCTGGGCTAGATGAAACACTGTCTCAAATAATAAATAATAATAAAAACAACAATAAATTATCAATATGCTTCCTACGTTGCATTAAAAAATTTCAAAGGAGCACCGACAGCGTATGTTCAAGGTCCTAAGTTTAACCTCCAGCACCAGTTTCCAAGGTCAGCATTCCATCCTTTGAAAGGGTTCACTCCTGCTTCACAAATACAACCACACACACACACCCCATATCACTAACCCAAAATATCAACAGTGAGAGCTCCTTCAGAAATGTGGATTTCAGGCAACCACCTCTGGTCATGTCCCTTCTCCCTATATATTCCCAACTCCAAGAGGGAGCAGCCATCTCAGAATCTCTAAACCATTGATTTTATCAATTTCTAGTGTCCCTTACCACGTCCCTTATGATGATCCCCACTTCACTGTCCATCCCCTGCTCTCTTAGACGCTGAGACCTCACTAGGCAAAGCTCCCACCTGATGCCAGGCTGAGTGGCTCCAAGCCTGTAACCCCAGCACTGTGGAAGCTGAGGTACCAAGACTGCCTTGATTCTGAGACCATCCTGAGCTTCACAGAGACCCAGTCTCAAAACAACAGCAAAACCTTAGTTAGAGCCAGCCTGCCACTGTCCTGAAGCCACAGAGCCAGGCAAGACCACAGGACCACAGTCTTGCTTACCATACTCCAGGGATACCAGGCATGTGCCAGCCAGCCTACATTGTCCTAGTAAGTTTATTTCCCTTCTCCTCCTCATCAACTGAAAACACGACTTCACAGTTCACCCCGGGTTCAGAATCATTCACTTCATGGACTCCACCCTCATCTGCAGTCTGCTGCAAAGGACAAGCTGCCCTTGACCCCCCATTTTCTCACCCCTTCAGACCTCGCCATTGCATTGACCACCTAGGCAACCGGATGCCACTGAGGTCATTACCTATGCTCAGGCTTCTCTCCTGTCCCTGAAATGCTTTCGTTTTCTTGGCACGGACTCTCTCTCTCTTGTACTTTCTCTCCTACCTTCCTGGCTGCTTTTCATCTGAGGATGAAGGAACCCTCAGGGATTCATTGTAGCTCTTCTACAATCCTAGACAAGTTGGATCAGTATGATTCTGAATACCTTCCCTGTGGTGATGGCTCCCACGTATTTACCTCCAGTGAAAAGTTCTCCCAGGAATGAGTCTCATAATCCAACTGCTGACTCAGCACTTCTGGGCTGATGCCCAATTATCCATCAAGTATGAGGCCACAAATCCCTAACCTTCCCATTTTAGGAAATGAAACCACCATTCAATCAACTACTCTGGCCATGAAGAGAGAAAAGTGTCAGATCTCCTCACATAAAGCAGAGACTGTGCTACACTATAGAGGCCTATATCTGTCTCAACCTTGGGCCTGGCTCACTTTTATACCTCCAGTGACCAGCAGGGCCTGGCACAGAATAGTCAGAAATGTTTACTGACCATACCAGCTGCTAAAACTCAGTGAGCAAAGATTCCTAAAGGCTTGGCCCCGGACAAGAATGGCAAAAGAAAGAATGAGGGAAATGAAGGGAAAAAAAAAAAAAAGAAAGGAGTGTGCTAGAAAGATGGCTCAATAGTGAAAAGCACTGGCTGCTCTTACAGAGGACCTGGGTTCAATTCCCAATACCTACATGGCAGCCCACAACTGTCTGTGACTCCAATTTCAGAGGATCTGACACCTTCCACTGGGCATAAATGCAAGCAAACCATCCATGGGCAAGAAATAAAAAATAAAAATAAAAAAGAAAGGAAAGAAGGAAGGAAGATGAACCCAGTCCAGTTCCCAGCATTTGTTCATTTATTGTCTTTAGCCAGTCAGAGGCAGGACTGATGGTGAGGACCAACACCTGCCAAAAAGAAAACACAAAAAGGAATGGTGCTACCCACTCTAGACCCACTTCTTCAGAACACGGCTAATCAACAAACCTGCCCACACCCCCAAGGACTACAGAAGACCCCCAATGGGCAGTCTAGCATACAGTATTCTCCTCGAGGGAGGTTTCAGGCCTCTACCTCCACACAGGAAGAACCAGCCTCCAAATCCAGCCTTTTCTCCATCCACACACCTGCAGGCCCCCACCCCCTCCACAGTACCACAAGCCTCCCTTCCAGCTAGCTGTTGCACCAAGACAACATAGACTCCAACCTTTCTGGGCTTCAGTCTCAGCATCCACCCAATGGAGACATAATCTACTCTGGTGGCCAATGAACTATTTTAATAAGAATTTTCCAAGTCACTGCTCCAGGGTCCTCCTTTGTAAAATGGGATAGCATCCACCTCATGTTGGTGACCCTCTCCAACCTACCAGAGTCTTGGAATTATTGTAAAAGCTAGCCAACCTTCATTGCTTTATTTTTTGTTTGATTGGTTTGTAGTTTCATTTTAATAGGGTCTCCCTAGTTGGTCTGGAAATCACTGTGTGCCCACACTGACCTCTGAGGACGGCTGATAGACCCCCCTCGGCCTCAGGAGTGAGGGCCGGGATTGTGTCACTAGGCCCAGTCTGAATTGGATTGTGCTGAAATTTCATTAGGGCTGTTCCAAGCGTGTTCCCTTGCATACAGACAGCAATAAAAGGAACGAGCCCTGAGGTCATGACGTCCTGGGTCCAAATTCTAGCCAACCTCCTTCCAGTCGCAAGACTCTGGGAAAATAACCTCTACACTTCTGGATTTTCATCGTAAAAGGAAAATCGTTTTTTCTCCAGAGACCTACAATGAAACGGGTTAGTCTGAGTGCCCATCCCACTGGAACCGCTCTACTGAACGTTTGTTTACGCAGACAGCTTTCCAGAAGCGGGACAAAACGCAAGGGAATTTCTAACTACTCCAAATTTGTTTCAGTCGTCCACTAGATAATCCAGGTGGGTGATCCCACACACTGTGCTGACCCTAAGTCGCCGGTGCACCGGGACTTTCCAGGCCTCTCCTCGCTAGCACCCGGAGCCCCCTGCTCAAGGCCGAGAAGCCGGCCCCAAGCCTTTAGACGCCAGGGCCAGGGCCGCTAGCGCCGCTTCCCAAGGGCCAGTCTTTCAGCGAGGAGCACGCTGTCTGACCAGGACTCGCAGCCCGCGCTGCCGCGCAGGGCGCCTGCCGCGGGGCACGCCGGGACTTGTAGTCCGCGACCGCTTCCCATTCCCACTGCTCGTCGGCGCCTGGACTCCACTCCCCAAGCACCTGCGCGGCCAGGCCGGCGATTCTAGGGGGTCCCGGAGCCCCGAGGCCGCCGCCTCTACGAGACGCGGATCAGTGCTGACAACAAGCGCAGGGCGGGAGCCGAGTCGCCGCGGAGGACCCTACCCCTGGGACTCACCGACTTTGTAGGGTAGTTTATCAGACATGCTGGCGGCGCTTCCGCTAGGACCGGTGAACTCAGTGACGGGGGCCGGGCGGCGCGGGCAGGGATCTACGCCTGGCGCCGGCGTCTTTAAATATCATCTTATTTGAATATTCATGATTCCGCTGGGGCTGAGACTTGGGAGGCGGAGCCTAGCTCGCTGTAACAGGAGCTAAACTGGACTTCGAGCCTACCTCGAAAATAATAGATTTCATGCACTCTGGTCTTTGGATCCCTGGCATCCGACTGAAGGGAGTGTGGAGAGAGGCAGTTCTTTCCCCATTCGCTCTACCAGTGAATCAGAGGTCAAAACTTTCAGGCTCCAGCCAATTTACTTCCCTGAGCCCTAATTTCTTCAGGTATACAGTAAGACGAAGAATATCTACCGCACAAGATAAAAGGAAATTGCTGGGCCCGGTGGTACGGTGGTACATACCTGTAATCCCAACACTCGGGAGACAGAACCAGTAGGATTGCCACAAATTCGAAGCTAGTCTGGTCTACACCTAGGTAGTTCCAGGCCAGCATGGGCTACAGAATGAGGCCCTGTCTCAAAAAGAAAGAAATATTACAAGTTGCAATGTGTCACTCTCTGCCCTCTGCCCTCCTTTCCTTGCTCCCCCACCCACCCACGCCCTTCTCAACAAGTCCCCATTTCACTGTCTTTTTGTTTTGTTTTGCTGGAGAGGGGAGGGACTGGGAAGAGAGAAGGGAGGGGAAACAGATAGGAATGTAGGAAGAAAACAATGTATTTATTAAAACAATTTTTAGAAGAGTTGCTTTGGTTACAGTATCTCTTTACAGCAATAGAGCAGTAACTAAGAACTGTCTGATTCTGGTGGACACCGGACAACAGTGGCAATACTCTGTTCTTTCAGGGGCCTCTGGAGCCTCCTGGCCAGTAATTCATAGGGAAATAGCCCATCCCTGGTTGGGTTTGTCTATTTATTTATTTATTTGCTTATTTTGGTCAACTTGACATAAGCTAGAAGAGGGACCTCAACTGAGAAGACGCCTTTGTCCATATTGCCTGTGGCAGGCCGGTGGGGCATTTTCTTTGATAATGATTGGCATGAGAGGACCAACCCACTTTGGGTGGCACCACCCTGAGTAGCTGTTCTCAGGAGTGTAAGACAGCAGCGAGCCATGAGGAGCAGCCTGGACGCAGTATTTACCCGTGGCTGCAGCTTCAGCTCCTGCTTTTAGGTTCCGGCCTTGAGTTCCTGCCCTGGCCTCCCTCAGTGGTGCACTGTGGCCTGGAAGTTTAAGCTGAAATAAACTCTTTCCTCCCCAACTTGCCTTTAGACATGGTGTTTATCATAGCAACACAAAGCAAACTAGGACACTCCCCCTCTCCCTACTCTATCCTCTTTCCCACTCCCCTGCCACATCCTTGATAACCCGTTGCCATCTCAGATGGCTGGCTGTCTGAATAAAATACAACATAAAGATTCAATGCCCATCTATGCTCGTTGGCCTCTATGATGACAAGTATCACAAACTCTAGTGTTCTGGTTACAAAACCATGAAACAAAATTGATCAATCTCTCTCTCTCTACACACACACACACATACACACAGACACCCCACATGAATACACACCAAAACAACTACATTCTTTGAGGCTTCTTTTTTGACCTGTGGAACTATTCAGATATGTGTTGTTTAGTTTTGAAAGGTTCAGACATCTTCCTATTATTGTTTTGTCATTAATTTCTAGTTTGATTCCATTGTGACTAAAGAACACATCATTTTAATTCTTTTCGGTTTGTTGAGATTTGAATTTTGACCCACATAATGGTGAGTGTTGATTTTTAACTTGAAAACTCTGACCACCTGGGAGATGGGGCTCCGGGCACACCTGTGAGGGATTATCTGGGTTAGGCTGGTTTGGTGTGGCTGTGAGGAGACCCTGGAACTGTAGAAGATGGAGAAGCGGAGGTGAATGGTAGCATGCGTGCGTCCCTTGCTCTCTTCTTGCGGTAAATGTCATGTGACTAGCTGCTACATGCTCCTGCTGCCCCCATGAGGCACTGTACCCTCAACTGGGAGCTAAGATGAACTTTTTTAAAAAAAAGATTTAATTATTTATACAGCATTCTGCCTGCACACCAGATCTCTCTATAGATGGTTGTGAGCCATCATGTGGTTGCTGGATATTGAACTCAGGACCTCTAAAAAGGACAGCCAGTGTCCTTAACCTCTGAGCCATCTCTCCAGCCCCTAACATGAACTCTTAACTTTCTTTGGTAAGGATTTTTTTTTTTTCTATCACAATGAGAAACAAAGGAAGACAACCCAGGATGGGGTCAATCTTGGTGCACGGTTTTCAAGCACCTGAAACAAATGTGTATCCTGCTGTTGTTTAGTGAACACGCTAGATGTCAGTTAGGTGCTGCTGGGTCCCAGCGATGCTGAAGTGTGCACCCTTGATGAGTCTCTGCTAAGTCATTCTTCCAAATGATGAAGGGGCTATTGAAATCTTCAATTTGTCCTTCCCGATCCATCATCCTTTGCTTCGCATATCTTACGGGTCTGTTCTTTTGCATGTACATGTTTAAGAGTGCTGTGATCTCTTAGTGAGTGGCTCTTTTATCCTTTCATAGTGGAAAGGAAACAAGGCAAGAACAATGGGGGACAGGGTGTCTCATTAGTGCCAGATGGGAGTGGAAGGCCTGTGGCTACATTGCATGTGGTTTGAAGAAAGGTAATGTTTGGTTTTCTTTTTAAGTTTACTTAGATACATATGTTTTTAAATGTGAGTGTGCGCTGTTTGTAAGGCTTTGAGGAAAGAGCCCCCGAGACATTGGGAAACTCTCATAAACTACACCCTGGTAAGTGCTGACACGATAGCAAACTGCAAATTCACCCTTTAACCAACCACTTCCAGGAATTTAGCCCAAAGATGGACACATGTGAGTGATGACATTAAAGTCAAAGGCTGAAAAAGGTCTACAAGTCCTTCAGTAGACTTGTTGCGTAATGGTACAATCCCCAGGAGGGAACCCTGAAAGAGCTTTTTTTTAAGGTTTATTGTGTGTGTGAACAAATGTGACACGTTTATCTGGAAGTCACAGGACAATTTGTGGTAATGAGTCTTTCCTTCTGCCAATGGGTCCTAGGCTACATGAGATTCTATGTCATGGTGAAGAGGGGAGGAGGAGAAATGGAGGAATTTAATACACATGAATTGGGCTGGATACAAGGGGCTGCTAACAGTGCCAGGGAGGCGGGACACAGGCTCCAGTGAAAAGCTCGGTGACACGTGGCCACCAGGTGCCCCTTCTCATAGTCCAAGCTCCAGTGAGGCCTGTCAGGCCTCTCCCCTTGCCCTTTGCATCTCCCTTCCCCTGTGCCAGGGGTGGAGTGAGCAGGATCCTGGCTATTGGCTGAGAAGCATCCCAGGCTGTCCATTCCAAATCATCCTCACTTGCCTTCCCATGGTCCAGCCTTTCACTGTGGACTCATTGGTGACAAAACAGAATGAGGTCCAAGTGTTAGGGATGCTTTCATGACCTGCCATGTCCGAAATGTGTCCAGCTTGGCCAAATGTTCTATCCTCAACGTCCAGTTCAGCATCTGACACAATGTTTGTGAAATGACTGTGACTCTGCCCCAGCCTCTTGCCTTCAGCCGATGATCTTGGTTGTTCCCGAGTCAGGAATTCTCTGAATGTGAGTTTTTTCCTGGAGATGGGGGTGAAACAGAGACAGAGAGGAGAGAGAGACAGAGATAGAGACAGAGACAGAGACAGAGACAGAAAGGGGAGCGGTGGAGAGGGGGGAGGTTAAAACCGGGTCTCCTGTAGCCCAGGTTAGCCTCCAACTTGGTAGGTAGCTGAAGGTGACCTTTTGCTCTTCTACAAGACTCTCTGGTTCTGGCACATGCTAAGAGGCTCGTCCAGACTCGGCAGCCATCAGAGGGTCGGCAGGCTGAGCCACCGCTCCGCCTCTCAAATGACAAGCCTGTGGAAGAGTGCACTGAGGGTTTGTAACAAGGGGCTCGGCCAAGTCTGATGGGTGGGCCCGTCTCAGGGAAGAGACACCGAGAAAGCAGGTGGCTCTTAGCCGGGAAACCTTAAAAGTTTCACCACCACCATCCCTTCCCCTCCCCCCCTTCCTCCTACTCTCCTTCCCTCCCCCGCTGCCCCTGGGCAGCTCCCTGTGAAGGAGAAACCCAGTCCTAAAGGCATCCTTGCACCTCTGAGGTCAGCCTTAGTCAGGCTGGAGTTGCCTTTACCCGACTCTGCCAGGTGAGGGCACCCGGCACCCACCTTTGGCTTCACCCTGAGGCAAACCCCTCTCTCCTGTAGAATGCACTTGGACAGCTGCAAACATTAAACCCCTGAGCAGCTTTTACAGCCCTTCCCATAGAAGAAAAGGAGGACGGCCCTCCTTGTGAGTGATCTTTTAACTGGTTCTGAAGGGACTTAGCCCAGAGCCAGGCACTGGCTGTGACACTAGCCATTGGGATACTGCTGTCATTTGTTAGGTTCATTTTTGCTCTCCACAATTTTTTGGGGGGTGTGGGGTTGGGGAGTGGCCAAGATCTCACCACATAGCCCCATTGTTCTGGCTACGGTATAAACCATGCTGGGCTCAAACTCCCAGAGATCTGCCTGCCCCACCTGCCTCTGCTTCCCAAAGGCTGAAATTAAAGGCATTTGCCACCAAACTCCACTATTCTAAACTCTTCAGTCTGTTTGTAAGGTAGATATGCATCGCTGGCCTTTACATTGTGAGCCCCATGATGGTGATTTGCCCACAATCAGGAAGCACCCTTGAAACCAGGCATGCTGACACACACCTGTATTCCCAGCAGAGGCAGGCCGATCTCTGAGTTCAAGGACAGTCTGGTCTACAGAGTGAGTGCTAAGACAGCCAGAACTACACAGAGAAACCCTGTCTCAAAAAACTAAATTAGGGGCTGGAAAGATGGCTCAGAAGTTAAGAACACTCGCTATTCTTCCAAAGGTCCTGAGTTCAATTCCCAATCAACCACATGGTGGCTCAAAACCATGTATAGTAAGATCTAATGTGCAGGGAAAATGTTGTATAAATAATAAATAAATCTTTAAAAAAACTAAATTAATTAGTTAATAAAGTAAAAGAGGCACCCATGCTATTTGACCCCAGAATCCCAGCTACCAACCTGCTCTTCACACCCTTATCACACCATACACTTTTTATTTGAAACTGCCAGATGCAAACACTCGAAAAGAAGAAGACAAAGTCCCTGTTCCCTGGACCTCCATTAAGCAAACACATGTGTTTACACACAAAACCCAAGCACACATATAAAGGTCCTTTGCACATTCATAAACAAGGTGAGGCAAGGATCAGCCCTTACAATCAGCCTGTTTGCTTTGCTCTCTTCTGCTATGATGTGTGTGGTCCACATGTATGTGTGTGATGTATGCATCCGTGTGGCTCTCTGAATATGCCACGGGTGTGGAGGCCAGAGGAGGATGTGGAATGTCCTCACTCTCTGCCTTAGTCTCTTGAGACAGGGTCTCATCTGGAGTTCTCCCCACCCCCCTTTCTGGCTTGGCTGGCTAGCAAACCCAAATAATCCTCTCCACATGTTGTCGCTTTCTCTGTGTTTGCTTCTGGTTCTCATCCGTGTATACATGGATGAGAATATACACACGTGTGCGTATTCTCTCTGCACCAAAGGCTGATGCTGGCAGGCGTCATCTCTGCATTCTGAAGACCGCATTTGTACCCCAGTGCCTCGTTTATCCAGTGTGATCAGGGGAAGAACCGGTCTGTCAGAGAACATTCCAGTGAGTGAGACTGGCCTCTAAAGACCATATAGTTTTGTGGGGTTGGCACAGTTTTATAAAATGTATTTACATGTAGCTCAAGAAGCTCTGAATTCCTTCAGACCAGAAACTAAACCTTGGGGCATCTCTTCATCACAGCATCCAGCAGCGCCTGGCCAGGACATATCCTCATCCTCGGTCAAGGCTTTGTAACTGGGAATGTGTGATGGCACACAGGTTGAACAGCAGTCATAGCAGGGTGGTTGTTTAGATGTTGGCCTCATGGCTGGTTTCTGATGTTTTTATACACTTGTCACCTTTTGAAAATTGTGGGAGTTCGTGTAGAAATCCAGATCTACAGCTTCTCCCTGGAGGAAAGAGAAAGATCAGGTACCTGGGATCTGGGTCTGTGCTGTCAGATAACTGCGGTGGACAAATCAACTGCAAAACAAAAAGCTTCCCTCTTTGATGCTGTATCACGTCTCTAGGCCAACATCTGTCCCACCCTTTTTATGCCAACATGATTTCTCACCAGCAAGTCCCAGAGTCCGCTTGCTTCTGCCTCCCTAGTGCTGGGATTATAGGCATACACTGCCATCCCTGGCCTTGAACTTATTTTTTTAAGTGTACAGGTGTTTTGTCTGCATGTATGTCTGTGCACACCTGTTACCTGCAGAGGTGAGAAAAGGCCATCAGATTCCTTGGAGCTAGAGTTTCAGATGGCTGAGAGTCCCGATTTGGGTGCTGAGAATTGAACCCAGGTCCTCTGGAAAAGCTCTAACTTCTGAGCCATCTCTTTGGCCCCTTGCTGGTTTGTAGTAGTAATAGTAGTAGTTTTTGGTTTTTTGAAACAGGGTTTCTCTCTGTAACCTTGGCTAACTTGGACTCGCTTTGTAGACCAAGCTGGCCTTGAACTCACAGAGATCCGCCTGCCTCTGCCTCCCAGAGTGCTGGGATTTACAGGCATGTGCCTGCCTGGTTTCTTATGTTGGTACCAGGAACTGAACTCAGGCCATCATGCTTGCATAGCAAGCACTTTGCCAACTGAGCTATCTCCCCAGCTCCTGTATCACTTACTTTGCACATCACTGACAGAAGCAGCTTCAGAAAGGAGAGGTTTCTTTGGTCCACAATTGCAGGGTATACAGTCAGTGGTATGAGAAGCCATGCAGCTGAGTTGCCTCAGAGCACCACGCCAGGACCATAGGAGACAGCCTGTTCAGCTCTCAGCAGATGACGAAGCAAAGAGAGCAGGGTTATAACGCTGAGAGGCCTGTCCCTGGTGACCGAAATTTGCCAGCATGTATCCCATCCAGAAGGTTCTATAATCTCCCAAGATAATGCCACCAGCTAGGAAACAGGTAGTCAAATACATGAGCAATCAGGGGTCATTTCAGATGCAAACAGTAACACCAAGGCCTGCCAGCAGTCACTAGAATCAGGAGAGAGGCTTGAGAAGATTCTCCTTCAGAGGCTCGAAAGGAACTTACGATGCCTACACCTTGATTGTGGACTTTCGGCCTCAAGAAATATGAAGGAATAAATTTCTGCTGTTTTAAGACATCAGAGCTGTGGTCTTTATTTCAGCGAGAGCTCTAACACTGCTGGGAATTGGGAGAGATGTGGAGGACAAGGTAGAAGACGAACAGGAGTGGCCACTCAGTGTCCCTTGTGTTGTCCCCCTGCCCCACTTGCCAGAGAGAAAGCTAAGGGCATGGGGGCTGCAGTGAGACTTGCCATGCCAAGCTCTACCCCAGGGACTCCAGAGCCTCCAGAGCTGTGAATCACTCAGGAACTGTGGTTTTGTTCTAAGCAACTGTGAGAAAGTGCTTAAGGACAGCACTTGGAGGATGAGGTAAATCGGCTAGAAGAACCAAGAGAAGGAGGTGAGCCTGGGGTGTGTCCTCTGAGGCAAAAATGGTGAGAGAGGCTTGGGTTCCACATCTATATTTGCCTGTTTTCTTTTGTCCCTTATCTATCTAACATGATCACTCTTGTGGTCATAGGCATTTGTCAGATGCCAGAATGATGTTAATAATTAATATCTCAGCAGGGTATAGTAGCTCACAACCATCTATAGTGAAATCCCGTGCCTTCTTCTGGTGTGCAGGCACACATGCAGGCAGAACGCTGGATAAATAATAAATGAATTATTTTTTAAAAAAAGATGTGTAACATCATGATTAACCTTAAAATTTTTTATTTTTATTTTATGTGTATTGGTGTTTTGCCTGCATGTATGTCTATGTGAGAGTATCAGATCCTGGGGTAAACAGGCAGTCATTCAGGTACTGAACCCAGGACCTCTGAAAGGGCAGTCAGTCCTCTTAACCACTCAGCCATCTCTCCAGCCCCAACCGATTCATCTTGATGGCCCTGTCTATAAGACTTTTTGAGCATGTTGTATATGGAGTTTCTATTAGGCACCATAGGAGAAGGTTTCAAAAAAAAAAAAAAAAGAGTTGGCTGAGCATTGCTCTGTTTATCAAAGGTATCCATCAGCCTCACTCCAACAGGGCAACATGAAACCACCCTGAAGAGGTTGTCTGAGAGGCCAAAATGGTGGCACTCCAGGCCTGTCTGCAAATGGATCCTGCCTGTGCTCCAGTGTGGCTGATGCAGCTCTGAGGGTCCATGAACAGCTGAGCATCCCAGAGCACCTCGTCAGCAGACCCAAGGCCAGAGCTTGGTCCCCAGCCCCTCCCACCCAACCTGGGATCAGTCTGTGGTGGCAAACCGCACTCCCTGGCCTCATCGACCCAGAGGACCAGAGCTCACTGCGTGACCTGGTGGCAGCGGGAGAGCAAGAGGGAAAGAAGCTCAAAATCCAGTACTGCAGGGACTGCAGAGGTGGCTCCGAGGTGAAGAGCACTGGCTGTTCTTCCAAAAGACCTGGGTTGGGTTCCCCTCACGTTTATGGTGGCTCGTATCTATCTGTAGCTTTAATGGGATTGTCTGCCCTCTCCTGACCTCCTCTGGCACCAAGCACACAAGTGATGCTCATCTATACGTGCCAAAAAAAAAAAAAAAGAAAAAAAAAAAAGAAATCATACATACAAAATAAAAATAAATCTTAAGAAAAAGAACCTTGTACTTTGAGAAGTGCCAAGTCAGTAAGGCTGCCCACACCCTGAAATCTTAAAGGGAAAAACATAGTGAAAAATATCCTCTTTACACCCGTAGCATTGGATGTGGATTTTTTTTTAAGATTTATTTATTTTATGTATATGAGTGTTCTATCTGCACGTACACCTGCATGTCAGAAGAGGGCATCAGATCCCAGTACAGATAGCTGTGAGCCACCATGTGGTTGCTGGGAATTGAACTCAGGACCTCTGTAAGAGCAGTCAGTGCTCTTAACCACTGAGCCGTCTCTCCAGCCCCTGGATGTGGAATTAACAAGTGTTTGCTCAAAAGTGAAAAGGAGGCCCCAGAATGAGAACAGATACTTTCAACATGTGTATCAGACCAAAAGCTCAAATCCTGCATACATACTGGCTGTAAGCTGACAAGAAAAAGGCAAACACTGGAGGATCCATGCTAGAAAGAAGGGCAGGACAGAGGCTTCCAAAGCAGGAGAGATCTAAGTGGCAGGATTGTTTCATTTTGTGGATTTTTTGTTTGTTTGTTTCTGTGTTTTTTTGTTTAGTGTTTGTGTGTGTGCGTGCGTGCGTGCATGTGTGTGTGTGTGTGTGTGTGTGTGTGTGTGTGTGTGTGTGTGTACAGCTGTACACTGGAGAGCAGAGAAAGAAATCTGATGTCTCCCTCTATCAGTTTCCCCTCTGTTCTCTTGAGACAAGGTCTCTGGCTTTGTTTAGCTCTCTTCCAGTTTGGGGCTTAGCTGGCAGTCAGCAACCATCAGAGACCCATCTGGCTCCCCATCCTAAAAATCTTGGGGTTACCAGAGCACTAGCCATGCTCGGGTTTCTGTTGTTGTTGGGGTGTTTGGGGGCAGGGTTTCACTGCAGAGCTCTGGCTGACCTGAAGCCCTTATTCTCCTGTCTCAACAAACTACTTACCGGGGATTACAGCTGTGCACCATTTTAAAAATTAATTACTTATGTACTTTCTTTTTTAATGTAGGAGTGGTCTGCCTGCATGTATATCTGCACACCAGAAGAGAGCTTCAGATCCCTTTAGAGATGGTTATGAGCCACCATGTGGTTGCAGGAATTGAATTTAGGACCTCTGGAAGAGCAGTGAGTGTTCTTTTTTGAAACAGGGTTTCTCTATGTAGCCTTGGCTTTCCTGGACTTACTTTGTAGACCAGGCTGGCCTCTAACTCTCGGAGATCCACCTGCCTCTACCTCCCAGAGTGCTGGGATTAAAGGCCTGCACCACCATGCCCAGCTTGTGGCCAGTGTTCTTAACTGCTGAGCTGTCTGTCACAGCAGCCCCAATTGTGCACCGTTTTACCAGGCAGCAACTGCTTTTCATTCTTTATAAGCAAAATGATCCTGACTGATATGGTTCCCCCTTCACCTCAAAACACCAGCTCTTTAAGCTCCAAACCATTCAGTGTCTTCCCCTCTGTCTGCCCTCACACTTCCCCTCACCTTCTCTTCATTCTCTGAGGACTGGCTCCTGCCCTGTGCTCTTCTTATCCCCCCTAAGCACTGCCATCTCCTTGGTCAACTCTCTTTTCCTGAGGTTGTCCGTACCCTACTTTGGCCTCTTGACTTCTTACCTCCTGACCGTCCATGACCTTCACCCACACTTCCTATCAGCTAGCCCTTTTACTGGGTGGCCACACCTTGGACCTTATCCTCCGCTGGCTTTACTCAGAAGTTTGCTACAAATTGCCTAAAGTCCAGCTGTAGCGGGCTCAGCATTGGAAGGATGCCGTGATCCCAGATGCATGGAAGTCTGTACTTGGCAGATTCCAGGTACCTTAACTTAGTGGCAGGCCTGCACATTCCACAGCTACCCGGGTTCCTCTTTCTCCCTGTTCTGCTGTCGTCAGGCATTAGCTGGGTCATCAGACTGGCTTCTCACATGCTCAGCAGATGGCTTGGAAGCTGAAATATCTTATCTTTAGGACAATGTCCAGAGGCAGAAGAAAGGGCCTCGTGTTCCTTTCCTTCTACCACTTTGTAACAAGAATCGCCAAGCCAGCATTGAGGTGCACACTTGCAAACCCAGAGTCAAGAGTTCAGGGTCCTTCTTAGCTCTGTATCTAGTTCCAAAATGGATGTCCCCAACTCCAACTGCCTAGCAATAATTTCTCCATGACCAACATTGCTCTCTGCCCACAACTTAGCTCAAGGCTCGAAGGTAAGCAAAGTTAGGCTTAGTACACTAAGTAGAAAAGAAAAAAAAAATTGAAGAGAATTAAGAAATGTTGCCAGACATGGTGACACACACCTTTAATGCCAGCACTCAGGGAGGCAGAGGCAGGCGGATCTCTGTGAGTTAGAAGCCAGCCTGGTCTACAAAGTGAGTCCAGGACAACCAAAGCTACATAGAGAAACCCTGCCTTAAAAAAGAAAAACAAACAAAAAACAAAAACAAAAAAATGAGGAATTGCAGATAGGCATGGTGGCACATACTTGCAATCTCAGAATTGGGGGTGCTGAGGCAGGAGGATCAGGAATTTGAGGCCAGTCTGGGCTACATAGTGAGTTCATTGAGTGTGTACATAGTGTGATCCTTTAAAAAAAAGTTTTCTAGATGAGAAGCATTTGAGCCAGGTGTGGTGGTATACCCCTTTAATCTTAGCACTCAGGAGGCAAACGCTAAAGGATCTCTGTGAGTTCGAGAATTTCAGTCAGAGCTACATATAGAAACCTGTTTTAAAAAGAAAGAAAGAAAAAAGAAAATGAAAGAGAAAGAAAAAAAAACATTTGGAGATAAGCTGTCTAAAATTGCTAAGGTAATTTCATGGTTTCTTTAGAAATCAAAAGTTTATCTTTCTACTCCACCAGTCTTCACATAGTTTCTATCAAAGTTACCTCCACAGTCCACGGAGGCTTCTCTGTCCATTACAAGTTCTGTCCAGGAAGAAGGAAGAAAGGGAAAAAAGGGGGAATGTGTACACTATATGCCCTGAGTGTTTATGTTTAATGCTGGGTATTTAAATCAGAACTATTTATTAAGCAATTTATTAAACACTTTCTGAGTGCCAAACACATTAATAACACTCACTGTTATCCTCAAAAAAATTTTTTACAAGTATGAATTTAGGAATATTACCTTTTGCCTCACATATGCTAAGCATGTGTTATGTGCTGTATCACTAAGCCACACCCCTCCTCTGCTTATCCTTCATTTTTCTTTTTCAGAGCTATTTATTTTTATCTTATATGTGTGAATGTCTAGCCTGTATGTACGCATGCCACCTGTGTGCGGTGCCCATGGAGGCTAGAAGACCCAAAGATCATCTGGACCTACGATTGTAGGTGGTTGTTGTTATGGAATATCCACCAGAAAGAACTGCTCGGACTTAGGTTTAAGCCATTTATTAGCTGGCCGATAACTACACTGGGTGTTTGGGAACCCCAGTACAGCCCCAAGCCTTTCTCAGGATGAGCTCTTAAGCACAAAAACCATGTCCTGGGCTGACATAGTTCAGTTAAGAAGAACAGTTAGCTGGAAGCAGAGCTACAGAAGCCAAAAAGCTTAGTGTATTCAGAGACTTTCCCAGGACAATGAGCTTTGATGGATCAGGTCTTTGTTTTAGTTTTGGCAGGTGGTGCTGTCTACATGCTGAGTTTTACAGCCTCAACGGTACTCCCACCATGGAGTTGTGCTAAGGTCTCAGGGCTGACTAAGTTCTGGGGCCCTGTTACAGTTGTCAGCCACTGTAGGGCTGCGGAGCCATGCAACTGGGTGAGCGGGTCCAGAGCAAGAGTGCTAAGCACATCTAAACCCTGAAAATCTTGTCTTGAGACCAGCAGGACTAGGACCTGCCCTGGGCCTGCATGTCCTGGCCCATGTAGCCTTATGGCCCCCACCTCTGCCACCCTTCTGGTAGTCTGTTGGCCTGGCAGCAAGGTTACTGCAAGGCTTCCTCTCTTTTTATAAGGTCATGTCCAGCAAGCACCTGGAAACCCTTTCATGCAAATAAGGCATTCCTAGCACCTCGGCCCTGGCCAATGATGTACACTCACCCCAAAAACCTCTGCCCACTCCCCAATTAAACAGCCGTCTCACTGACGCTGTCTCCTGAGAAGGCTGTTTCTCATTCATGTCAACCAAGATTCTGTGTAACACCCAGCCAACCCAGGTAAGCTTCACTCCCTCCTCCAGTCCAGCTCAGTACACAATGAGCCTGGAAATGCAAAGGGAGAAGTGGGCATGGAGTGGCAAGCCACCATGTGGGTGCAGGAAACCAAACTCATCAGGTCCTCTGGAAGAGTAGCAAGTGATCATAACTACTTAGCCACCACTCTAGCTAGTCTGTCTTTCTTTTTTTTCTGTCTAGACAAGGTCTCATGTAGCCCAGGCTGGCCCCCAGCTCACAATGTAGTTGAAGCTGGCCCTGAACGCCTGATCCTCTAAGATTACAGGTATGATGACCATGCCCAGCTTTTCCCCCTTTTTTCCCTGCTAGAACTGTTTTGTTGTTATTGTTTGTTTGTTTCTAAGTAGCCCAGGCTGAACTCAAACTCTAAGTTTTCACACCTCTCACATGCTAGAATTATAGGTCCGTGGGTCTTAGTCACTGTTCTATTGTCACCGAGTGCCTTAGCCACTGTTCTAGTGTTGTGAAGAGACACCCTGGCCATCAAGACAACTCCTATAAAAGAAAATATTTAGCTGGGGCTGGCCTACAGTTTCAGAGGTTGGTCCATTACCATGGCAGGGAGCATGGCAGCATGCAGGCGGATGTGGCGCTGATGAAGTAGCTGAAAGTTCTACATCCTGATTTACAGATAGCAGAGAGGAAGAACATGGGTCTAGTGTGGGCTTTTGAAATCTTGAAGCCCACCCAGGGACACGCTTCCTTTAACAAGGCTACACCTACTCCAACAAGGCCACACCTCCAATAAAGCCACTCCTTATAACCCCGTGGAGCTTATTTTCATGCAAACCACCACAGATGCTTTCTTATGACCTCTGTGAGCACTTCATACATGTAGTGTACAGACGTACACAGCATGCAAAACACCCATATAAATATGCAAATCTTTAAGAAAAAAAAAACAGAGGAAAACAGCAAAACAACTTTCTGAAGAAATGTTAAGCAATTTCACCATACAAAAAGGTAATGATCCCCTACCCAGTTATTGACTGGAAAGTGCACCATCAGAATGCAGCCTAGGAGACACCCATATCGATTTAAAGTATTGTGTACGAGGATGTCAGTTAATATTGTTTTTAATGGGGGAGAGCTGAGCAGTAGCCTAAATACATGCCAGGGAGGGAGAAATAAACACGTTGCTCCTGTTTTAGAAGTCGCTTAGGAAGGCTAAATGTGAACTCAGTTCAAACACTGCTCCACTCACTAGTGACATATGTCATCCTTGACATATCTGGCATGGTCACATCCTGAGAAATGCATCATCGGCAATTTTGTGGTTGTGCAAACATCAGAGGCTGCTTATGCACACATAGATGGCCATACATATGGCTGCCACTCAGCATGCCTTTTGATGGAATTGAGATGTGATAGACACAAGATGTCAGGGTAACACGGAACATTTTTGTTTGTCTGAGACAGGGTCTCATGTAGCCCACGTTGAAGTCACCATGCAGCAGAGGATGGCTTTAAACTCCTGCTCTCCCTGTCTTCACCACCCGAGTACTGGAGTAGCAGGTCAGTGCTACAAAGCCAGCCTACCCTGTTCTGTTCTATCTGTTCTACCGTCAACCTTTTTGTTTGGGACGGGGGTTAGATTTTTAAGATCCATAGCTTGTCATCATCATGTATTGTGCACTCTACACAGCTGTGCTGCTGTGATGTTGTATGATGGCAATGCAGTGGGTTTAGAGCAGGAACAACAAGGACAGAACAGTGCCCACGACAGTAACAGGAACTACAGCATCCCTGGGAAATAGGAATTGTTCAGCTTCATTATAATTTTAAAGTTCTTAGATTTATTCGTTTTATGTGTTTGAGTGTTTGTGTATATGTATGTTTATGCACCGTGTGAGTCCCCAGAGGTCAGAGGAGGGTAACAGATCCCAGGTCCTCTGTGAGAACAAATGCTCTTTCCTACTGAGCCACCTCTCCAGCCCCAACTGTACGTGTATTGAGATAGGGCCTTGCTGTGTGGTTCATCATCCTAGTGATAAACACCGTGACCAAAGGCAACTCAGGGAGAAAAGGATTCATTTCACTTTACAGCTTATGCTCCGCCACAGAGGAGTCAGGACAGGAAATCAAGGCAGGAACCTCTGGCAGAAACTGAAGAAGAAAACATGGAGGAATGCTGCTGACTGGCTTGCTCTCCATGACTTGCTCAGCCCGCTTTCTTATACCACCCAGGAGGACCACCTGCCTGCGGGTGGCACTGCCCACCGTGGACTGGGCCCTCCCATGTCAATCGTTGATCAAAAAAATGCCCCACAGGCTGATCTACAAGCCAATCCGATGGAGGCGTGTTCTCAGTTGAGGTTCCTCTTCCCCAAAGACCTTAGCTTGTGTCAAACTGACACAAAACTAACCACCACATCCTTGCTGGTCTAACACTGGAAACTGCCCTGCCTCAGTCTCTCAAGTGCTGGGATTACCACCAACACCTGTTTTCCTTTATAATGGTACAGGACTATTGTTTCCCTCACTGGCCAAATAGTGTTATGTAATGCAGAGCTGTTCAGGCTCTCCCTCCTCTTCCATTCTCCCTCTCTCTTTCCCTCCCCTGGGTAAAATGATATGGCTAGTCGATAAGGTTGAAATGAGACATGTGTGGGAAGCACATAAGAAGAGGTCTCATGCCTGGCATAGTGGTGCATGCCTTTAATCCCAGCACTTGGGAAGCAGAGGCAGGGGGTCCTATGAATTTGAGGCCAACTGGGACTATAGAGCGAGTTCCAGGACAGCCAGGGTTATGCACAGGGAACGAGTGTAAACTACCTGGCGCACACCTCTAATCCCTCCACCAGAGAGCTGGGAGCAGGAGGAACAGAAGTTCAAGATGGCGGGCTGCAGAATGAGTTCTCAGGATCAGCCTGGGCTTCATGAGACTCTCTCAAAAGATAAGACAGGCTGGGTGGGTAGTGGCGCACACCTTCGGTCTTAGCACTCAGGAGGTAGAGGCAGGTGAATCTCTGAGTTTGAGGCCATCCTGGTCTACAGAGGGAGGTCCAGGACAGCCAGGGCTACACAGAAAAACTCTGGCTCAACACAAAACAAAACAACAAAAACACACAGACACACACACACACACGCACACACACACACACGAACACACACAGGAACAAAACAAAACAAAAAAAACAGCAAAAACCAACAAGTCAATCGAAATCCAAATCCTAAAGAAATCTGAGCCTTGGGGCTAAACAGGAAGAGCTAGTTGCAGATCATGACCTCCATGGAAAGCGGAGTGAAATGTCACTGCTTGCAGCACCAGTGCATACAAACCAGATCTGGCAGGCTGTGCAGTCTTCTTTTTTCTATTCTTTCCTTTTTTTTTTTAGGCTGTGTATTCTTGAGCATGTTTGTTACTCTGCAGCAAGGACTGGCACAAAGGACAAAAGAATTTCACTTTTTCTCGGTAGGCTCTGACACTTACTGCCTATGTGATCTTGGACAGATTATGTCACCTCGTGGACATTTTTCCCATCTGCGACAGGAAGATTTACTGGAAGTGACCTGAGGAATGGTTGCAAGGGCTGTGTATGAGTTAGCATACATACACAGTATGATACAACCTGTTGGACAGAGCTGGAATTGCATTTCTTTTTGCTCTGTCTTTTCATGATCCTAAATAATCTCTCTCGGAAGCCGGTGGAGCCTCCTCTTCATAATTCCTCCGGGCGTTAATACTAAGGAGGAACTTTGGAAAGTGAAGGATGATCAAGGCTGGAGGGGTGGCTCCTCGGGCAGAGTGTTTGCTCTGTGAGCGTGAGAACCTGAGTCTGGGTACTAAGCACTCACATTAAAAAACAAACAACAGCAAAGTGCGGTAGTGCTCACCAATAACCCCAGCACAAGGGCATAGAGATGGACGGCTCCCCTGGTCTCACGTGCCAGCCAGTCTCTCTGTGGGTTCAGCGAGCAGCTCTCTCCCAAAAAAAAAATAGACTGGAGAATGATAGAGGAAGACACTGGACTTTGACCTCTGGCCTCCGCATACATGCATGAGTGAGTACACCCACATGCCCAACACACACTCACACACACACACACACACACACACACTGGAAAAACAAAACAAATCTTTAAAATAATGATATGGGTCTCCAGTACTGAAATTGGAAAAGCACCCACACCCCAGTGTTTGTAAGATGTCACTGGGCTGCAGAGTAAGTGCCTGGGGATATTCCTTCTGGTAATTACTCTGAAGTTCTTTTGGGGCGGTAATAAATGTCAAATTCTTTCCCTTAACCATCTCTATCTCCTTTGTCCCTTTGCAAGGGCTGAGTCAGCCTGGTGGGTGACCCAGGCCTGCCCTAAGGGGAGGGAAAAGCCACACAACTAAGTCCTTTGAGCCTCTCCCCTGGCCAGAGGGCATCAGCAACTGGAAAGGTGCCCGGCTTTATGGGCAAACAATGGTGCCAGCCAGCTTCGGGTGAAGCAGGCTGAACAGCCTGGCCTGAGCTGGTGGGCATTCAGAAGGGTGCCCCTCATACCTGAAGGGTCCACTTCCCTCGAGGACACCCTAAACATCCACCAATCAGAGAGAGTTCTTTGGCAAGGGCAAGGGAGTCAGGGACTGTGGAGAGGAGATCCCTCAGCACTCACTGAACAGCTCTACACATGGTATCCCTCAGTCTCCCTGCTGGGGACCTCAGAGTCCATGGAACTGAACTATTCTGGCATATGGATGAGAAAACAAAGGCTCCCTAAAGGGGCTGAAAGTTGTTTGTGGTCCCGTTGTAAACCAATCACAAAGCTGGAGCCAAAGCCCAGGTTCCCTTTGACACAGCAAGTCCACACCATGAAGTGATGTTGGCACGACCTTTTATGAGCATGCTCAATTCCATGTCTTTGCTGAGTGTCCATCACTTATCAGATAGTGTCTTGTCACTTGACTTGCGGAATCTGAAGCAGGATCTGAAGCATGGACACCTTCAGGACAGAAGCAGTCTGCATGCACTTGCCTGTCTGACTGTGGAGCCCCTGGTTCAGTAATTGCCAGAGTTCTAAGCCTGCCTCTAGAGGCGGGGGAGGTGGCCCAGTGGGTAAAGTGCTTGCTCTACAAGCCTGAGTCTCTGAGTTCATATCTCCAGAATGCACAAAAAATCCAGGTGTGGAGGTGAGCCTTTGTAATCCCAGCCTGGGAGTGGGTAGGTACAGGGGAATCCTGGAAGCTGCAGGAGCTTTCTAGCAGGCCAATGTACTCAAATCATCCAGCTGCGGGTTCAACAAGAGACCTTACCTCAAAAATCAGGCTTAGAAGCAATTAAGGAAGATTCCCACTGTCAACCTGAGGCTTCAATATACACCTGTTTGAGTGGGCACCCCCCCAGACACACATGAATATTCATTTGCATGCCACACATACACATATACAGACACACAAAGCTCATGACTAACAAACACTTCCTGTGTGTGTGACCTTATCAACTAGTTTGTGGCTTGCTGTAGTAGCGGCTCTAAGATGGCTTTCAGTGGCCGTTACCTCAGGGTGTCTATCCCCTGATGGAGGCAGTTTCCTCCATCGTCCTTACCTCAGGGTGTCTACTTCCTGTTGTAAGCAGTTTCCTTCCTCTTGAATTCAGCTGACCTCTGTAACCACTAAAGGACTGCAGAAATGAGAGCCTAACTTTAGGGATCAGAAGGACCCCTGGAAGTCCTACCTTGCTCTCTTGAACCACTGGCTATGAGTGTGGTCAGCTGCCATGTGCTATACTGTCAGGCAACCCAACAGACAGAGCCACACACCTAGGGGCTGAGTCCGGTTTCTGCCACTATAATGCTTCTAAGGGAGTTTAATTAGCTCAAAGTCCTCTAGGTTAAGGAGTCCAGGACTGAGAGCTCCCCTCTGCTGAGGGCCTTCTTGCTGCATCATAACTCAGCAAGAGGAATCACATGACCAAGGAAGAGCATGTGCAGGGGTGGGGAGGACGGTCTTACAAACCCAGGCTCCTGATTAGCAGTCCACTCTCACAATGTTGGCCTTAGCTTTCCTGACCTAATTAACCTCTTGACAATCCCACCTCCCTACATTCTCAGAAAGGCAAGTAAACAGTGATGTGCGTCTTATTCGTATTATTTATTTTAATTTGTTCCGTTTACATTCCTATCTTAACCTTCTCCTTCATCCCCTCCCAGTCCTACCCTCCCTTCCTCTTCCCCCTTATCCCCTTCTCCTAGTCCTCAGAAAGGGGGAGCCCTCCTCCCTTACCAACTGGCCAAAGACTATCAAGCCTCATCAGGACTGCCTGTGTCCTCTTTGTCTGTGGCTTGGCAAGGCCCGCCCTGCCTGGGGAAAGTGATCAAGGAGCATTCACCAGAGTCCATGTCCTAGACAGCTCCTGTTCCCCTTACTAGGACACCCACATGGAGACTGAGCGGCCCATCAGCTACATCTGAGTAGGGGACCTAGGTTCTCTTCATGTATGGTCCTTGGTTGGTGCATCAGTCTCCCCAGGACTCTGGGTCCAGATTTATTGGCCCTATTGGTCTTCATGTGAAGCTTCTGTCCCCTCAGGGTCCTTCTATCCCCACACTCTTCCCTAAGAATCCCTGTGCTCTGCCCACAATGTGAGTGTTAGAAGGGGCATACAGACCATTGGCAAGCACAGACAGCCCTCCAACAGCCAACTGACTTGCCAGCCATGTGCATGAGCCCCCTCAGAAAGGCCCCACCCCCAGGCCCACTCAAGGTTTTAGATGCCTGTAGCCCTCATCCACATCTTCACTAGACCCTCATGAGAATTCTAGAATCATAGAAAATAGGTAAGATAAGCATATTGTTTTAAGCTGTCAAGGCTTGGACAGATCTCTTATGCAGAGATAATGAATGCAGACATTCTTCCTTCTTCTCTTTATCTTTTTTAGTTTAAATTTTATCCGATTATGACTGTACACATGTATGAAGTGTGCATGTTGGGTGTGGGTGCCTGCATGCCATGGTGCACATGTGGAGGTCAAAGGACAGCTTTCAAGAGTCAGTTTGCTCCTTCCACCAGGTGGGTTCTGGGTGTTCAGCAGGCTTGATAGACAAGTGCTTTTCACTGCTGAGTATGTCATCAGCCTTTTCTTTATCTTAAAAGTAAGGATGAGTATAGCTTTTGCTTCATACAGTTAGAATGCAGCTCGATAAAATGATGGATGGGAAGGGTTTGCCTCATAGCAAACACCCCACAGATGGGGACACTACTGCTATGTTATTATATGGTATTTATTATTTAAACTTTTGTTTATTTATTTGTCACTTATTTGTTTGTTTTGTTTATTTATATTTTGGTTTTCTGAGGCAGGGTTTCTCTGTGTAGCCCTGGCTGTCCTGAAACTCCATCTGTAGACCAGGCTGGCCTCAAACTCGGAGTTCGACTTGCCTCTGCCCCCGCCGCCAGCCCCTGAGTGTTGTGATTAAAGGCATGAGAAACCATGTCCAGCTTGCTTATTTATTATTACTATTGTGTACTTGTGAGTATGGGCACACCATGCTGTGGCACGCCTGTGGAGGTCACGGGACACTTGTGTCCTTCCACCTTAAGTTCCAGGAATTGAATTTATGTTGTCAAACTTGCAGGGCAACCGCTTTCACCCAATCAGCTATCTCACCAGACCTGTGCGGGCTTTATTAAGGGCTAGAGCTTGCAGAACGGCCGTAAGCCTGGTCTCTTCGTTTTTCCGGCAGGTCTGAGCTATCCTAGCCAGAGAATAAATCCTGCAGGGAACCTCGGTCTCCCTAAGGTGAGGAGGAGAATCCTGCCACTCCCTCCCCTGAAGGTTCTGGTTTCTCCTCTGCCACGCACTGAAATTCATCAGGTAATTCTTGGCTCATCTGCTCTTAGGCCTATGTTAAATTTTTTTGCGCCATCTCAGCACTTCCCTGGGATGTTCCCTGACCCGGCAAGCTGCCGCACACAGGATTGTTTTGTTCCTCACATCTCTGGGAACCAGGTTTAAATTTTAACTGCGCTGTAGACTTGACCTTTGAAAAGTTTCTCAACCTCTTGAAACCCGTTTCTTCATCTGCCAAACGCAGAGTGAATTCTGCCTCTGGGCTGCTGGGGAAAGAAAAGAGCCAGAGTAGTGTACACTGGAAGTCCCCTTCCAAGTGTCAGCCCGCCCCAGGAACTTCTCAGTCCCCCTCCCAGGCTCCTGTCTGCTCTGAGGTTGTTATCAGCTTTGACTTTTAGACCAGGGGGACAGTCAATTTCTTTATTCAGGCTTTCAGCAGAACTTGCAAACATATTCCAGTACTTTCCTTCTGCAGCTAAGCCAGGTTAGGAAGAGAAGAGGGCTTTTGTTGTTGTCTTGTTTTGTTTTGGTTTTGTCTCATTAAATAGTCCAGGCTCAATTTAAACTCCAGACCTTAAACTCCACAATCTTCCTGGCTCAGACTTCCAAGTACTGAAATTACAGGTGAAAATAAATTCTCCTCCTTCTCTTCCTCCTCCTCTTCCTCCTCCTTCTTCTTTGTGTGTGTGTGTGTGTGTGTGTGTGCATTGCACAGTCTGAGTGTGAAGGGCAGACACCTTGGGTATCAATCCTCAGGCACCTTTATGTCTCTTTTTGACATGGAAATCCACCACATAGGCCAGGCTAGCTGGCCTGCAAGAGTGCAGGGATCCAGCCTGTCTCTGTTCCGCAGCTAACCATCGTGGGTTTTACAAAGTGTGCCATTATGCCTGCAGTTCCCACCACCATAGAGATCATAGTTCAGCTCCTCACATTTGTAAGGCAAGCGTCCTGCCAACTAAGGCATCACTGCAGCCCCCAGGTAAATGATTTGTAAGTGGAAAAAGTAATAAAAAAAAATTTTTTTTTTCCTTTGTAGACCAGATTGGCCTGGAACACATAGAAATCTGCCTGCCTCTGGCTCCCAAGCTCTGGGATTAAAGGAGTGCACCACCGAACCGGCCTGGCTGAATAATA